ATGCAGAGATTTGCGCCGCCTTAGCCGAAGGCCCCGTAGGAAACCCACCAATCCACCTATGGAGCAGACCGTTCTGGCGCAGGCTCTTGCGCCACTGGCCAGACACTGGTCGCCAACAAGACGCGGCGGAGTTTGTGAGCTTCCTTCATCAGGCTAGTCCTCTTCAGTGTTTTCAGGGTACATGGGCAACTCTTGAGAGTAACTGCCTGCTTGACTGTGGCAGCATCTGCCCACTTTCGCTGCATAATGACCTAGATCAGCTCCCACTGCACCAGGGCAAGTGCTCGCTGCAAAGTGTCATCACGAGCTGGCACAATCAAGAAAATGCCCCGGCTCTCGCAGCAGGTGCCTCCTGCCTGGTGCTTCAGCTGAACAGGTTCCGAACGGTGCAAGGCGAAGTGACTAAGTGCCTAACTGCAGTGACCCTCCCGAGCACCGTTATGATCCCGATCTGGTCAGACGGTCGGTTGCAGCATCGGAAGTACTTGCTAAGCTCAGCCGTGATCCACCTGGGTTCCTCGCCCCGTCATGGGCACTACAGGTCCCTTCTCCTAGACGGCCAAGGACAGGCGTGGTGGACGGATGATTGGCAAGCTGCGATACTTCCTAAGACGGCTGACGCTCTTATGATGATGATGAAAAACGCCTATCTTCTGTTCCTGCGACCTGCTCCACAAACAGCCAGTTGCAAGTCGATACAGGTCGAGGATGCATCAGCTCAGTAGAACAGCCAGTTAGTTTTGTGAGCAAGCCTCTGTTGAAACAGTTTCGGCCTAGTGCTCAAAGGCCCTTTGGGGCGGCTAGGTTTAGCTCTGGCTCCATTGTGAAACATAGTGTGCAATCGTCATCTTCAATCTTCTTCTCACTTACGATTGTTTGGCTTAATGACTTGTTGTCCCACTTCACGATGAGTCCAGAACTAGTAGGACGGGTGACGGAAGATCCGTCATGCAGCAAGGCTGCCATGCAATACGCATGCCATCATCGCATTGCGGACTCGTCTTCTGCAGCGTGCTGAAGTGAAGTGAAGTGACTACTACGACTGCTGCGACTACTGCGCTGCTGCGGCTACTACGACGACGACTACTACTTCTACTTCTACTACTCCCGCTCAATTTCCCACTCCCTCTCGCACTGCCACTTCCACTCCCACTGCCAGTGTCAGTGCTACTCCCACTCCTCTAATACTACTATTGCTATTGCTGTGACTCTTGCTATTACTTGTACTATTACTATTTCTGTTCCTATTGCTGCTCGTCCTCCTGCTGCTGCTTGTATTACTATTACGTACAACCTGCTACAAACTCCTTACAACTTACTACCTCTAGCTTACTATTCTCCATTAACCACAATGCCTACTACTCACCACCGACTACTTACTGCTTACGACTTACTGCTTACGACTTACTGCTTACTACTTGCTACTCACTACTAGCTACGAACGGCCATCCAATAGCTACTAACTACTAATTTCTCACCATTGACGACTTACGACGAGCGATCAACGATTAACTATACTACCAGCTACTAGCTACTACTATTGATACTCCTGCTTCTGCGGCTGCTCCTACTGCTGCTACTACTACTTCGACGACGACGACTACGACAACTACTGCTACTGCTACCGCTGCTACTACCACCACCACGACGACGACGACTACTACTACTACTGCTACTACTACTGCCACTGCTACCGCTGCCGCTGCTGCTGCTGCTACTGCGACTGCTACTAGTACTGATATTGCCACTGCCACTGCCACTGCCACTGCCACAGCTACTGCTACTGCTACTGCTACTGCTGCCGCTGCTGCTACTGCTTCTGCCACTGCTACCACCACTGTCTGTTGCAGTCATCATAATTTTCGCTAGTGTTGCTGATAGAATAGAACATATCGTAACGAACAGTCGTTGTTGTTAGTATCAGAACCTTGATAAGCAAGGAGTGCAATACCTCCGAAGCAGAACCTGCTATTGGCAGCAACCTCTTCCACGGCCTGCCTAGGAGCGCTTCAGTTCTATTGGAGCGTCCGTGGCAGATGCGAAGGTGGGGAGGTGTGATCCGAATGCGGTGTTTCAAGTGCCAGCCGCGTGGACAGGCGCTTTTGTTTTGGCGGTTATGCTGGCTTCCTGACACGGTTAATTGCTTTCACGAAACGGCTGCTGGTTTCTTTGGACTGCGGTTGAGTGCGGTGAGTTTACTTCAGCCTGGACTTCTTAAGTCTGCATAACCGCCGAACCAGCCAAGCAGGGAATGACAAATGCGGCGGCACAGTAAAGATTTCCAACCTTTCATAATCAGGTTTTCGATGATGACGATGATGATTATATAGAGAGAGATTGGGTGATGATGACGACTAAGATGCTGCTTCTGCCGATGATGTAGTCAGGGGTAAAGGATTAGGACCTTCCATAAAACCTCTGCGCCAAAGTGTCGAAGCTGTTCAGGGATGTTCCTCGAATGCCGAAACGAAGTTTCCACCATCCTTCCATGCCACAGTCGTCTGGGCAACAGTTTTCTTGATCCGCAGCGACGACAGCGCATAAAACATCAGCTCACTCAACCAACGAAAATTAAAATGTCACCCAGACCCAGATGCAAAAGCACTTCTTGAACAGCTCTTGAATAAGAGCCCCCCACCACCCGCCACCCCCCCACCCGCTGCTTTAATTGGTTGTCTATTGGGCCTGCGCGCCTCCTTTCAGACTTACGTACAAGCAAAAGACGTCAGATGCGTGTCCAGCCTTTTAGTTTGGTTGCACCGTTTTCCGACCTAATAACCGTCGCTCGATCTCGATCCCGGCCTCAACATGGCCTCCGAGGGCAACTTGTGCACTGTTTTTTCCCGTCTTCCAGTTCACCCACCAGAAGAAATCCTGCAATCACAGGCCCAGGATGTCGAGTCCTTTGCGGCCAATCGAGCCTTAGGCTACAAATCACTGACGCCGAGTGTCCTGGCAACGAAGAAGGGAGCTCAAAAGGCTTGAAGGCTGTTGGGGTCCTGATGGCACTTCGACTTGTAGACCAATTCAAGTCATGAAGGGCTGGGGCACCAGCATACGGCATACCCTGAGCCCAGAATCTCAGAAATTCCGGGGTCGCATGGACTGAAACGGTTGCGTTGGAAAGGTTCAGAGGAACAGTGGGGACCATGACCTGCTAGACCCTCTGAATGCAGAGAGAGAGAGAGAGAGAGAGAGAGAGAGAGAGAGAGAGAGAGACAGAGGAAAAAAACAAGCAGCCACAGACCCCTCAAAGTAGCTTGAACTGGAGCGACACGGATGACCCAAGTGATGCCTCAAGATTTGCATGGTAATGGTCTTAGGTCAGGTGTTGCGTGTCCTGGGGGGGTCGACAGGCACATTTAGGGGAATGTGGGCATCGCTCATAAGACCGACAGTCGCGAACCTGGTGGGGGTAGGCTCTCGGGCCAGGGTCTTTGGGGACCCATACCCCTCAGCAAGCAAGCAAGAGAGAGAGAGGGACCATGACCAAGACCCAGGCTAGATAGGGAGCTATGCTGCCGGCCGATGCTTGAGGGGATTTCGACAGCCTCGACGCCTAAAGACACAGCCCGGCCCAAGGTAAACCCGCCGAGGTGTTCGCGGACAGCACCTGGTTTCGGCAGCGACCCGGTTGGCCCTTCAGGATTTAAGGTGGATGTGTCTTTTGTCTCACCGGGTGCCGAGATTGTGTCGTAGGAGCAGAACAGTCTAGGCAAAAATGCCCGCAGCTAGGCAGGTGAAAGGCAAACTGTAAGGCGAACCCCCCACAGCCGTACGCACATCTGTGGCAGTGCGGCATGTAGCAAGTCTCGCTGCGAGGTTGAACCCGATCGACAGGACGAGCTGGGCCCCGGACTTGCCACCTGCACAAGCAGGGGACGCCAGGTTGAATTGTGTTTTCGTAGCAACGCCATGCAAGGCCGAAATCCTAACGCGCCTAATTCGGTACACCTTGAGAAAATGGGTGTCAGGTGTTGTAGCTCGAATTCGGGCGAACCACACCGTCGGAATGCGGTAACCTACGTCGCCCCCAGGAAATGCATGAGACGCCTCACGGAAAGTGACGGAACGGAGTAAGTGAAGTGACTGCTCAATGCTGGTCTCGTGGCCGTCACGGATCAGGAAAGACCCAGTGGTTCGATTCACCTTCAGTCCAAAACCCAAAGCAGCAGTTCAAACCCCTGCAGCTGAAGCATTGCCAGCGCGGTGAGATGCGGTGAGAGGGTTTGGTCTCCTTCAGCAGCTAGCAATCCTCTCAAGCTGTTGTAGCCTGAAGTCCGCCTAGCTGCTGCATGTCTGCTCCACCTCCCAGACTTCAACGCAAACAGCAGTTGTTTAGGTCAGAAAGAAGCCGTCGGACTAAGGAGGTGGAGACACCGCTCCAGCGATGGAAGCGGGCCGAGAAGTGAGCCTCGTGCCGTGACTCCCCGGTCTCGTACTTTCAGCTTCCCGCGATTGCTGGGGATTGTTATGGCCCCGAGCCCTGAAATTGTTTGAGCGGGCTCTGTGAAAGCTCGTTGTGCGGAGTTGCAGAGTTTTGAGCTTGCCTCAGAGTTCTTCTGAGAGTCCTGTCAAGTAACGATGGGGGTCCTAGGGAGGTCGTGTGCTGGTCGGGTACGCGGAAAACCATCGAGCACTGGAGTGCGCTTGGGGTTGAGGGTTTGCCCTGCCGCACAGTGCAGTGCGATAGCCGTCAGAATGGTATGCTATCCGTAGCTCGGAATGCCAGTCAGCCAGTCGTCTGGGAACCACCCCGGTCACATGCGTTTAAGCATGTCAAGGCAGGCTCAAGATGATACAGGCAAGACTCATAAGTCGTTACGGAATGGAAGTCTCAAGCCATATGCAAAAAGCCTAGATACAGTTTCATGTCATGTAAATATATAAATAAATAAATAAATGAATATATATATATATATATATATATATATATATATATAGAGATATTGTATATGTATATACCTACAGGGAACCCCGTGACGGTCGTGAAGATCGCCATGGCGGCATGCCAGGGCCGCGGGCCCTCGAGTGGAGGCCAAAGGGTTCCGGGCGGCCTGGCAGAGGGGCGGAGCCTGGGCTAAGTTGACTTCTTTTCCAAGGTTCCTTTCCTTCCTCCCTCCGTCCCTCCCTCCCTTCCTCGCTCGCTCGCTCGCTCGCTCTCTCTCTCTCTCTCTCTCTCTCTCTCTCTCTCGCTCGCTCTTTCGATTTTGCATTCTATCTTATTTTTTTCTTTGGGCTCTTCCTTTGCTGACTGTTTGGCTACCGTTTTCCTCGATGATTGGAACCAGCACAGGGCACAGTTCCCATGAGCTGAGGACGTAGCCGAGACTCCCGAGCAGCTCGTGGCTCACTTGGAGAGCGTGTCCTCCGAGGATGTTCGTGCACAGCTCACCGCTTTGCGGCGCATCGCTGCGGTGAGAAACGAGGACTCTTGGGGCTGCCGCCGCAAATGCAGCAGGTCTCCTTGTGTAGTTGCGGGGCTGTGGCTGGGGCCGGGGCTGGGGAAAGGGAAAGGGACGGGCGGCCCTCAGGACCCTGCCAGGTTGAGGCAGGATGGGCGCTTGCAGAGATGCCTGGGCAGACTTGAGATACGAGACGTGGATGCGCGAGGATTTGCAGATCTAGCCTGGTGGTGTGGCAGGTTGGCAGTGCAAGATGGCCCGCTGGCCCGAAGTCTCTGCAGAACTTGCGTGGAGCTGAGCCCCTAGCCCGAGCCGCAGGACTCGGTGAATGCCGTATGGTCGCTTGGAAAGCTCGGATGCAAGGACGCGTTGCTGTTGCATGCTCCATCAGAACAGGTGCAAGGGTAGCTGGAGGTCTTCCGCCTGCAGTGGCTGGTGCGCTTGTTCTGGGCCTTCGCAAAAGCACGCTATGCTGGCGGCTCGCTGGCGACTTCCCTGGCGCGGGAGATCGGCTAGAAGAGCCAGGATTTTGCAAAGTATGAAGCACAGGTACCGACAAACTTCATTTGGGCTTCGGCTCGCTTCGCTTTGAGTGGCACATTCGGGTGCTCCGCGACTTTCTCGACGTTTGCACGGTTTCAGGAGCCTGATGTCCAAGGCACTTCGAACACATCCTGGGCCGCAGCGACTCCTTAGTGGCCTGACGGGGCTCTGGTGGCAGCCCTTGCAGAGCAGACAGCTGGGAGACTGCAGCAGCTTCCGCCGCAAAACCTGTCCAACGGCGCTTGAAGCTTCGCTCGCCTGGCTTATCGAGGCCTTCCGCTACTGCAGAGCCTCTCCGCGGCGGCCGTCGCAAAGGTTTCCAAGTCTGATCCGCAGGGCTTGGCAAACGCGGCTTAGGGACCAACCAAAACGAGCCTTCGGGGCAGGCCCTCTTCCACGGCAACCGCAGATGCTTCGATCGCCAAGATAGGGCAGCTCGAGCCGCAGAGCCCAGCCAACGTCGCATGGTCCTGGGCCACGTCGCACATTTACGGCCAGGCGGGCTTAGCACTTACTTCTCTTCTCCAAAGATCACGTGACTTCTCATGATGTCTCTTGCCAAGACACAGCATCGTCTTCCGTGTCTGTTGAGGCCTTGCTGAATCTGATCTGCTCCCGTGCCCTGGCCGTTCTCGAGGAGTTTCAGCCGCTGCCTTTGACCAACTTTGTTTGGTCGATGGCAGGCGCGGAGGGTTGCTCTGTCATTCGTGCCAGCTAGTGCCACGGCATGCCACTGCTTTTGGCAACGGATGGCATGCTGGTATCGCAAGGCCTCCAGACTGGCGGCGTTCCATTTCCGAGCTCGGTCTCCGCGAGAGTGCGGAAATTGGTACGGCAGCACAACCCACAGCAGGCCAGGCAAAGCGGCTCATGCAAGAGGGACTTCGGTGTCTTGTCTCCTGCGCCTGCTGAAAGATTCATAAACCGAAGCATTCAGGCTGCGAACAGCGCCTGGGCATCTGGCAAGGCCGGCTACCAGGACGACCAGCTGCTGGACATGACAAGGGAGCAGGCCGTTGGTAGTGGCATGAACGGGCCCGACAGCCAAAAGCTGGCAAACATGGCTTGGGCATGGGCGACGCTTGTTCTGCGAAAGATGGCCTCCTTCAACGCAGCTGCCGCGGCCTCAACCCGGCTCGTGCCGGAACCCAGGCCACAGCACTGCGCCAACATGGCCTGGGCTTCCACACGTGCGGTGCTTCTTCCCGAGAGGTTGTCGGGTGCAACCGCAACGACCTTCTGCCAGACGGTCGGTGAGGCAACTGCGCAGGAGCTCTTCAACATTGCTTGAAGCTATGCTAAGGCCGGGCTGGCCGTCCAACCCTTGCAAGAGGTCATCGCACGACACGTTGCAAAAAGCCCAAGCGAACTGGAGGCACGAGGTCCCGCCAACTTGGCCTGATCCCTGGCAAGCCTTGGCCAGCTTGACCGCTCTTCACTCGACCTTGCAAGCTCTCAGCTACGGCAAAGGACCTCGGAGTGCGGCCCGCAAGAGACTGGCACCGCGGCTTGGTCACCCGGAACACTGGCAATGCTGGGTATCCCGCTCATGCATGCACCCGGTCACCGCGCGTTTCTCGTCTTGGAAAGCTTGGAGCCCCAGAACCCAACGAACCTGGTTTGGGCGTCCGGCACCATGGTGTTGGATCGCGATGCACTGTCTTGTTCGGCTGGAGGAGTCTTGGCTGCAGACAGCACTTTGCAGCTGTAACTAAGCATTGGTGTAGTAATGCTGCACAAGGAGAGGCTGTTCAGAAGATTGCGCATTTCCACCCGCAGAACACCTCCAACATGGTGTGGAGATTTGCGACGTTGCTTGCAGGACTGCCCCGAAGCCTTCGTAAGATTCGCAACCATCCTGCGACCGCTTGTCTGTGCGATGTCAATGTGTGGCCGGGCTTTGGTGTAGCAAATTCCTTGCGAAGCCTTCGAACATAGCCATAGGACATGAGCCCTTGCTTGCAGCCTCGCGTGGGGGAGCATCCCGCTGTTTGAGCCACTGGCCTGGTCAGTCTTTATTCTGACTTCGAGGACTTCTGCATGCAGGATTGCAGGACTTCAGCGCTGGACACTAGTTAGAGGCTACGGGTGTGCGGCAGATTCGACCGAAGCAAAGGATAGAATCGGAGCCGCATGCGCTAGTCACGAACATCAGCAAGCCCTCCTTCGGCCCGGAAGCCCAAGGAGGTCCAAAAGCTAAATTGGCATGACTGTATGATAATGCGCGCAGTCTCATGTGGTCGTGCAGCTGGTACAAAGAACACCAACTAGCATGGATGAAAGCTGTTTTCGGCAAGTTCACGAAGGACGCAGCTGAGGTGTGTCCCGACCATGAAAGAAAGGTATCCAAAGTCCCAGAAGGTATTGTTGCCTGGCGCTCGCTAGAGTTGCATTACTCAGGTATCTCCAGCCCGGAAGCCCTGACCGTGGTAGTCTCCCAAACCAAACAAACCTCGCGCTGAACCTAACCCCTTGCCTTGAGAGGTTTTCTTTCTTCTCAGGTGAGCTTGGGCCCCAGGCCTCGGCAAACGCTGCTCGGGCCCTTGCTGCCGCAGGCGTCGGGAGAGCTTTCCGCGAACTGCATTCAGACGTGTTCCTCTGCAGGTCTCTCTGAGGAAGCCTCCTTCCGCGCTCTATCCAACGAAGCCCCTGGACGGAGACGGAGACGTGGGGCGGGAGTCTAGTGCTCTAGCCAGTCCAGTGTTGGTGTTGTCGGCCGGGGTAGACGGTTGGTGTTGGTGCCAGGACGAGTACAAGGCTTGTTTCATAAAATCCTCCTTGCTGCTTGTGGCTATTGTTTGGTTTGGTTCCTACAACTCTGTCTGTCAGGGCTTGCCAGCACACTTCATGAAGCCCAGCGAGCATTGCCCGACAACTCCAACACCCAGTTCCTGGAGAAGTAAGGCGCTCTTTCAGCTGCCGGGACTTGGTGCGCAGGCCGGAAGGGCAGGAAAGGGGACACCGTGGGATGCCGAGAATCTGGATATATAGGACGCAGACGAGAGCCCACGGCTCTTTGGCCCATTTCGGGGGCTCGGCGAAAGGGGAAGTTCATGAGGCCTTGTGTTGTGTCGAGACTGAAGTCAAAGAAGAAGTCGAGCCTGAGCCGCCGCTCCATGAAAGCTGGTGTTGTCTGAGCCTGTCGCATGTGAGTAAGTTTCCAAGCCATGTCAGTTACGTGCATGTGAGTAAGCTGTTGATGGGGGTGTGGGGTGTCGGGGCGGGAGGGGAGGGGAGGGGAAAGCGCCGGTCGGTCTTCTCACAAAGGCGCTGCAAGTCCGTGTCTCGCAAGGCGCTCGCCAACAGTGCCTGGGATGCTGCGGCGTGTCTTGGCGGCTTAACCGTAGTGCTCAGCCACCGTCTTGCAACAACTGGGCAAGTCGCCTTGAAGCCCCAAGCAACCTTCCGAGTACAGAAGGGACAGCACAGGAAAAGAAGACCCTGCTACGCTTGCCCGTTCAAGTGCTGAGCCGCTTCCGTGGTGATGCAAGCATCGACAGGTTGCGGACGGGTGGTGCCCAGTCAGTCATCTTTCAACACTTTCAGTTGCCTCCCAAGGACAGCGCACCTGAGCGACAGGTTGCCAAGTGGCATTGGACATTGTGCCGAGGTGGGACGGATACATTGGCCAGAAATGTTTGTCCAATCTGCGTAGCCTCTGTAGTAAGCCATGTCGGCGCCGATGATCCGAAAATGTGTCCAAACAGCCACCTCGTCTTTTGAGCAGTTGAGGCTACCGTAGGGTGAAGTGTGATATGAAACACGCTGCACAGGCACGAATCGCTGAGCCTGGCCAGCAGCAGCCTGCCAACAGCGCTTGGGCCTTCGCAGCAACGGCGGCTGTGGAGCACCCGCTGACGAGCACCCCAACAGCAGAAGTTTATGGTTGCGAGGTTGATGGTTCGAAGTTCGAAATGTGCTTCTTGCACGTTGCAGCCTCAAGAGGCCCACGGGTTAACCAATGACTCGGCTGACTCGGCTTGTTCGTGCCCCGACTCCACCTGCAGCTTGTGAAGCGACAGAGATTTTCACTTGTGACTTGTGGGTGTAGCAAGGCGAATTAATGGTGTCCGAGCTTAGTTGTACTGCAGCTGAACATGGGTTCGATAAGAGCAGGCAGAAAGCAGCATCACAAGATTCTGTGCCCCTCAACACCAGAACATCCTCGGTTTAGCTGATTTAAAGCGCAAGGGGTGCTGCAGTATACAAGCCAGATGAAACGGCCATCGTGGCCCTTCCAGATACATGACCGGCCATTCCGTTGGAAGGGGGTTCGAGAAAGAAATGCAAGGTGCGACCTCGGCGGCCGTGCTCTGCGCAGCCGAGTGGCGGCCGCAGGCCCTGGCGAACAGCGCCTGGAGCTACGGCCACTTGGCAAAACGAGAGGTTTCCCGGAGAGGGCCTTCGTGTAGTCTAGGGTTGAGGTAAGTAAGATTCTGGAGGTTAGGGTGTGGCGGGGTTTTATTGTGTCCCATTCCCAGATTGCAGGGTATCGGCAGCCCCAGCGCATCCAAGCCTAGAACAGGTGTGCTGGGCCTGGGTTCTGCCTCGATATTGAAGTTCCAGTACTGCGTGCGTCCCCGTTCTGCGTCAATGGGAACCGGGATCTATACCGAGGTTTTGAGAAGCACTGTGGGTTCACAGCTGGAGCACCCTGTGTGGACACGACTCTCAGGCAAGCTCGGGCTGCGAAGCAAGCCAGCCATGGAGGCGCCGGCGGTGGCTGGCTCTCAGACGCTGCTCAGCTTTGCTTGGTTGGGGTGTCCCGAGACACAATGGGCGGCCGGCGGCCGGGCAAGAGCAAAGCCGTAAACCGTAAACCTTGTTGACCGAAGCCTCGAGAGAAGTTTCCGATGAGATGAGCAAAGCCTGCGGTGCCAGGCACTGTTGGTCCTTAGAGAGGTCAGCCGTCGAAGGAGCACTTGTGCGTGAGTCAGCACATCCCGAGAAGGATCGACGACTCTGATCCGCAGAACCTCTCGAACATGGCTTGGGCACCAGCGAAGCCCTCAATGATGCAGGACTCCTGAGTGTCGACTCGTCTGCGCATGAGGCTTCTTCTACTGTGCACCGTGCTTGTTAGATGAAAAGTTAAATGCAAGGTTCTCCCGCAACCATGCATCAAGCAGCCGTGCATTGAATGGATGATAGTGTAGCCTTTCGGGGGCACTACAGTAGCGCAGTTATGCGCAGTTGAATGAGAGCTGTCAAAGCTTGAAGGAGCCTTTGCCGAAGGCTCTCGGTGCTACCGCCGTGCGGCGAGCTTCGGCCCTGGGGCCTCGAGAGCTGGCAGGCGACTTGCGATGCTTGCAAAAGTGTTTCAGAGAGAGTTTCAGGATTTGGGGGGTGCCTGGGGCCTCCGGTTTGGCGAGTTGCTTGTTTCGGGTAAGGGGAACCGAGTTCGGGGTTCAGGGCTTCTCGAGCTCCAGTTATGCACCTCCTCCGGTTGCCGCAGGGCTGAGGCTCGTGAATGGAGTCGCACGGATGGGAGCCCTGTTTTGTAGCCGACGGATCTGGGTTGTGCGCGGGAGATTGTGGCTTTTCTCCTGGCTTGTTCGAGTTTGGGAGGCGGCTGCTGAAGGGTCTGGGAGTCTGAGAGGAGTGCCTCCCAGGAATTGAAGGCCGGCGCACCATGGGTACTTAAGAATCGCTGAATCGTGTAGTGGCTTTAGCACAACGGGGTCCCCAGACTCTCGTTTTCTTGCTTCTTTTGTGCAATTTTGTCTTGTGTAGTGTTGCTGTACTTCCCCTTCATTCATCTTTGCGGTGGTTCGCCCTGCTGTGGCTCATGCTGGTTTGGCTTTCCTTTGGCCACCTATGCCTGAACGCTTCTGAAAGCCCTTCAGGCTTGGCGTGGGCCCTCGGCTCTCCGAAGGCTGGAGGAACGTCCCCGGCTGTTGACGTTGCAATGAGTTTCGGAAAGACGCTTTTACATGTTGCTGCAGCCGTCGCCGGATGAAATCCTTAGCACATGCCGAAAGCCCCAAGCTCCCAAAATCTGAACGCCACGCACCCCCAGCCCATCAAGAGCCCCCTGCAGAAGGTGCGGCAGACCCTTTCCTTGGAGGCGGTCTTAGACCGAGCCATGCCGCAGATGCTGCAGTCCGAGACTAGTCTGACTAGTCTGAGAATGTGTTGTTCTACGCAGCGGAGGGCCATGCGTTGCGCTAGGATCTGCTAGAAGTGTTTCCGCAGAAGAGGACGCTGGTGCATGTGAGTGCGGGCGCAAACATCAATCGGACAATCCGAATATCGCTTTCTTGGAGGGGGTATCCAATGTTGGTCAGAGACAGCGAGTCGCACAGCACTAGTCAGAAAACACAACGAGCGACACAAGGAGCTCAATCTGCAACATGTCCCAACATGAGCCGCACATGATAGCTGCCCTACGGAGGCTTGTGAAGTGCAGGGCTTTGTCTTCAAGATTCAACAAGTTAGAGGCTTGGAGCCTGGAGCTCCTTTTTCTTTCGATTTTATAGGTGGGGGCTGAAGAGGGTTCTGCATTTACGGAAAAGGTTCTTCTAGCTAAGGTTGCTGTCCGTCAGGACACTCAGTTTTCCGTTGTTTCTGCCATGCGCGGAGTGTTTGACTGCGGCAAGCAGACAGTTACGGAAGGGCCCGCATGCCTAAAGATGCATCTGCACAACAGTCACCAGTCCACATGGGGCTAGCGGCTAGCAGTGCGCGCATTAAGCCCAGCCCAACTTACACTTCTCACGCGGATGTAATGTAGCTAGTTAGTTAGAAGTTAGAATCCACAAATTTCGCCTCGAGCTTGAGATCCGGCAGAGTTTTATGGTTTGGTGTTGTTCTTGCATGTTGAGAAATACCTGAGAGGCCTGTGCGACGGACATGTTGTCTAGGATTGCTGCGTCCCTGGACCCTAAGACGCCCGAAATGTCAGCATCCGGACAGCCCAGGAGCCCCTTGATACAGCCAATATGGCCTGGGCATTTTCTTCTCTGCTGCCTTGGACCGTGGCATAATTGCTTCAGGCTTTAGGACTTAGCTCAGGTCCGCGAGGATGCACGTGGCTTTTCTTTGAAAACCGCCGCTCGTAAGTTAGCGGGGTGTTGCAAACGGGTTTCTTGACCATGGATGGCGGGGTGTCGAGCCACGATTACTTGCAGATGTCTTCGATGGTTCGAGGGCTTTGCAGACAGATGTTTCTCTGCAGGAATGCTGCGGTGGCTGCAGCGACATCTTCAGCAGCATGCAGCTGGGATGACAAGACCCACCACGAAGGCATGTGCAGAGTACTATAGGGACCACAATGATTACCTATACTATTCTGGGGTTCCTTGTTAAACCTATAGTATAATGAGGAAGGCACCTTTTGCAGGGAATTCAGAACTATGTACGGGACTGGAGACCTTGAAATGAAAGGCACCTGCCACTGCAGACCGTGCTCGGTGGGTTCCACAAGGTGTCCTTTGCGTGCCTTCAGAACTGGAGGGTCCCTGACTACCTCCCAAGCTCTTGCAAACCTGGCAGCCGCATTTGCATTCATACTGCTTGCTCGTTTGCCCTCGATTTAGATCTTCCTGCATGTGCAGCAGGGTAGGAGCCTGTCTAGGGCAAGCTCTCTGAGCGGGCGCTGCCAGACGCCAGCGTACAGAGGCACCTCACAGTCGGGACGGGACCCCCTGCAGCTCCAAGGCTCCAAGCTGGCCGCCTTCGATTCCCAGCCTCTCTCCTCGCTTGTGGACCTGGAGCTCCCGGGATGCGAGGTCCTGGAAAAGCTCCTGGCTGAGAAGGCAAGGCCTCAGCTCTGTGCCCCACTCTCAGAGCCTTCCATGCCCATGCCCCGTTCTGCTTCCTTTGCAGGTCGATGCCTTCGCCGAGGCTTGGATTCGGGAGGATGCTTTCTCTGGCTCGCCCCTTGCCTCGCAAATGTGAAAGGCGGAGGATCCGTCATGTAGATCCAGATCCATGTCGAAACTCGGCCCAGGAACGCCCTGCTGCGCACATGGCAGGTCGATGCTTGGCAGCCGCTTCAGCAGTGTGTGGGTAACAGCCCTCCGTCCGTAGTTACGCTCCTTTTGAATGGTTTCAGTCTGGAGGAAGCCTGCTACGGCCCTCAGCTCATGGTTTGCAGCTCAGGACAACTTCGGCATCATCGGCACCAAGTGGCTTCTTAGCCGCTTGGCAAAGAAGCAGGCAGCATCGGGCACCCCTCTGCTGACATGCTCAGCAGCAGGCAACAAAGACTGTCGAGGCAGCCCCGCAACAACCCACTCCCAAATCTGCCTGCAGCCGACGTACGCTTCTCTACACGCCCAAGCTTGGAGCTGGGGCAGCTTTCAGCGAGGAGTCCCAATGTAGAGCCGAGGCAAGCTTGGAGTGCATCGGCCGGGCGAGAACGCGGAGTTCGTCCGGAGGGCCAGGGCAGCTCTGCTGCTCTTTGCTCTTCAGGGCGGTTCCTCTCGGCTTTGGATCTGATGGCCTGGGTTCCGCTCAGGGCTTTCGTTGGTATACTGCAGGGGTTCTGGGTGTTGGATCCTTTTTCCGCGAACCACTTTGTGCCGCCAAAAGGACTGTGTGGAATTGGAGGTTAGGTGAGGTGAGGGAATTGGGGCTTAGGGTCAGTTTGAGAAGGCCTGGATGCAAAAAGGGTGTTAGAACTTGGGGGTCCGAGGTTCGGGATGCTGTGCTCCGGCAAGCAAGCCCGAATGAGCATCAGGATTCCGTACAGACCGCAGCTTGCAGCCTCCGCTTCAGCTCCGGGCGGCTTCGGGTCCTTTCGCCGTCGCCAGGGCCACGGCGGGCACGGCGGGCAGTGGAATGAGTGCCGAGGAGCTGCGGGGCGAGATCGAGGCCACCCGGCGCCAGGTGGAAGCCGAGAGGGTCAGGCGCCAGGAACTCGACATGGAGATCACCCGAGCCACAGAGAGGCAGAGGCTGCGCCTGGAGCTGGAGGAGATGAGGAACCTTCTGTCACAGGAGCAGGCAGATAATGAGAGTGCAGCTGAGCTTCGACGGCTGTTTGACGAGGACCGGGTCCTCAGCGCATGGCACACCAGTAATACCAGTGGTCGGCTTACAGGTGGTCGAGAAAAGGCGCAACCTGTGATGAGAGCAACTGGTGGAAACAGCACGAGTTGTGCAGATATAGTCGCCAAGGGCGAGTATGTCTGGAGAATCACAGGCCTCTCTTGGTTGAAAAGCATGCTGAAGCAGGAGGACAACGATACTGTCGACTCCATGGGCTTCAAAGTCGGCAACGAGACATTCCAGTTTCGCTACAACCCGTGGACAACCTCTATATGTTATCGGTATTATGGGTCTCTCGCCATCGTGCTCAACACGAAGGCATGCGTCGCAGTTCGGTATCGCATCTACGTCAGGGCACGGAGTGGAGAGTATGTACAGTGGGGCGAGACGAGCGATGCCATCCACGATGGATCCTACGATCAGTGGCCAACCTGTGCTGCGTACGGTCCCGATGTGCATTGGCCGGGTGATCCTCCAGCTTCTGTGGGCATCTTCGGGTTGAGCTATGATGAGCTGCTGCACTCCGAGTGGGTGCAAGACGACACTCTCACTGTAAAGTTCGAGCTCGATGTCCGTCCTGACGACCCCCCCAAGGCTCTGCGCTTGAGTGTCCCGGCGGAGGTCCCTGAGCCAACTCTGAGCGAAGACACGAAGGCGTTGCTGGAGGAGGGCAAGTGCAGTGACGTGCAGTTCTTGGTGGAGGGCGAGGTGATCCACGCCCACTCGCAGGTTCTCTGTGCGCGCTCCGAGGTGTTCAGCAACCAGCTGACGGCAGGCATGCAGGAAAGCTTGTCGAAAGTCATCATGATCCAGGACTGCGATGTCGACACGTTCAAGGCTTTTCTGCAGTTCCTGTACACGGATCGGCTGCCGGACGCCCAAGCGCTGCTTTCGAAGGGGACCTCAGGCGAGTCCGGGAGTGAGAGCCGGGGCCCGCAGCTGGGTCAGCTTCAGGCACTTCTAGACGTGAGTGACAAGTATCAAGTGAAACGTCTGCAGCTTTGGTGTGAGGCGAGGCTTTCAGAGCAAATCGACAAATCGCAGGTTTGTGCCATCCTCTGCCAAGCACATCTTCTGCAGGCAAAGCATCTCGAGACGGCGTGTCTCTCCTTCATCAAGGACCACATGAGCCAAGTGCTCACGATGCCTTCCTATGCCGAGCTGATCAAGAAGTGGCCTCAAGTCGCACTGAAGATCAGCCTCTTCTCGGCGGGTGTGTCGGAAACCGAGGCACTGGCAGCGATGGATGCTCTGCAAAGACCGGAAGAGCAGCAGTCGGAGCAGGCAGCCGGATCAGAAGCCTGTTAGCTCCCAGAAGCTCCGGCGGGGTGCGAACCCAAAGGTGCTTACGGAATGTGCTGCGCTCCCGCGGCCGGCATGTGCAAAGCTACAGCTGAAGATGCTGTACGACAATTCGCAATGCGACAGGAGTCACTGAGTCACTGTTACCCGCAGACATCAAAGACGCTTAAAGCTGAAGTTCTCGGGGCAGGAGGCTTTGACGTCTTGTTGTGGGAAGGGGTCACCAACTCGAGACTCGAAGCTAATTTAGTCATTGCAGAGCTTTGGACCTTGCCCCGGTATGCTGCGGCCCCCAACTTTCCAACCCACTCAGGGTGATGTGTAGCTAGGCACTCGTTGTGAAGTGGAGCTCTTGGACATCCTTTACAGGCGGCTGCGACAGGTGTACTCGTACTGGCCATGTGAATTGTGGACTGTTAGTATCACGGGAGGGCGTGTCTTTCAGAGCGCTACCTGCCATGTCTCGCTGGTGTCGCGAAACCGGCCATGCATGAGCCAACAAAGATCCGGCCTACTACAACGCTGAAGCTAAAGTTAGATGAGGGAGTTGCCGTTGCCGACAATTAGGGGCACCTTATTTTGCAGTCCCTATAATAAGGGTCCTACCATTTAGGGTACTATATCTCTGGGCGCCTCGATAAATCAAAGACAAGGATCCTTTTAACTTTCCGAACCCCGCCTCGCCTCGCCGAGAGTGAGTGGCAAAAGTCCCACTTCTGGATCCTTTTCAGCCCGCGAGTCTGAAGCATGTAATATAGGGGCCTTCATAATTAGAGTGGGCTTATTTGGGGCCCATTATGCTATAACTACAATAAGGAACCCTCCCAGAATAGTATAGGTAATTGAGGCCCCTATATTACCCTCTCAGGAAGCCGTCTCGGCCATCGCGAAGTCCAGAACTGACGACTGGAGGCGTGAGCGGTTCTTCGTGAAGGAACGGGTCTTCTGCCTCTCGGCGGGTGGCTAAAACTTTAGGGTTTAGGGTTTAGGGGTTTAGGGACCGATTTGATGCTTGATTCCAACGTCCGGCCCCAGCCCGTGACTCAAAAAGGGAAAATCGGTTCCTGGCCTATGCGTAGTCCAGGTGTAAAAGGGAAACTGGTTTCTAAACCGGTAGTACAGGAGAGGTGCCCTAGTTCTCCAATGTACCATCTCCGACTTCATTCAATAAAAATTATAATAAAAATCATCGAAACAGCCAGGGCAAACACATCACCAGGCACAGCCACCGGAAACAAACGATTTTCCAACGGATCGTGCGTCTCAGAAGGATTAACTTCTTGGTCTTAATTTGGCAGATCCTTGGCAGCGATTCGCATCGTCTGCCTCGGGCCGGCCGTAGGTGAAGAGTAGTTTCGGCGGGGATGAGCCGCGCACGGCTGCAGAGGACCCGACATCTAATCTGCTGCGGGGCCACGGGCAATGAGTCCACAGGCAGGAGGTGCAGGAGGGGGGTCGCTGGCGCAGGGATTCAGGGGAACCGACATGTGGGAACCGCATCTGCCCCACAAACCTTTGCAGCTCCTTCTTTCGATGCTCGAAACAGCAGTTTCCTTGTTACCGACCTGTCGATGTAGATAAGCGTCTCGGCGGGCTTGTGCAAGTTGTGGGAGTGCACATGACATCATGAGGCCCGAGTCGACCCCCGACTGGGAATCAAGGCATGGAGTTGCAGTAGGTGCGTTCGAGCTCGATGTTTCGGGGTGTACGATTTCCGGGCAAACCCGATGCAAAAAGCAGTTCGCCGTTGGGACCCAACACGGGGGCTTCAAGGTTCAATGTTCGGGATCGGAGCACTTGTCGGTGCACGAACTCAGGTTTTTTGGAGTTCAACCTGCATCATCCGCGTTTGGGCAAGCCGGCAGCGGCGCTGTTGTCGGGAAGTCTCACAAAGGCGAAGCGGGCGTGAGGGTCACGGACGTAAGCTTCAGGGATGTGCACATTGGTGGAAAGCTCGGTGAGAGTCCATCGGACGTTCGACAAAGCCAAAACCAAGAAATTTAGGCGCGGGTCGAGGGGTATTTGAAGATCTTATTTGTCTTATTTAATCTTTATCTTGTTTTAGGTGGGGGAAGTTGACATAGACAGACCGTGCAAGAGCGCAGCATCGCTAGGGAATCCAGCCACAAGGCTAGCATAGTGTCTGCTTCACACTTGCAACAGTTTGTCGATTGTCGAATGAATATAGCTACGCATGCAGAGTCGCCAGTCATGTAAATGCATGCACGCATTGCCGCATTGAATCCAATAGAAGAAGAAGCTAGTTTGGCAACCTGTGCATCTCCTTTGCGCGACTGTGAGTGTCGAAATAAATAGGTGAGTCTAGGTGTAAGTGAATACATGCATAAGTCCGCAAGGTGAGGTAAGGTGAGGTCGGGTCGCGTTGGGTCCGGGGGGGTTTGGGTCGGTCGGTCAGTCAGTCCGTTGGAGAGGGCAGTTTCGCAGTCAGTAAGTAAGGAAGGAAGTGCGGAAGTAAATAAGAGGCAGGGAATCAGATAAATGGACACACAAAGAAAGCAATTGTGTATGCAAATAACAGGAAACAGCATGACCTGCCAAACCACGGGCGGACAAGCATCAAACTAAGCACTAAGACATTCGTTGTTTCAAGGAGTTCTGTCATTATTACCGTTGTCGTTTCCTAAGCAGCGATATGCTCTTTCCGTTGATCTCTCGACTTTGACTTGTGAGTCCATCCGGGATCTATCCGTGAGCATTCGAGCCTGGACCCCAGCCCGCTAGCCTCTCACAGCCTGGCATACTCCTGTGTGTACTTGTGGCAGGAGAACAGCTTCCTTGGAGCTGGTACGCGCGCAGGCTGGAGCCTTTAGCGTGTTTCCTTCAGGTCGGTCCCCGCAGGGGTCGTTTGAAGTAGCTGCCTTGATTTTGGTGCGGCAGATGATGCCTTCAGGCAGGTCTGGGCTGCTGCGACCTTGGGCGCTGCCCATCAGTGAGTTGGTTGACAGGACGGCTGGTTCCAAGGGGGAATGGCTGAAGGGCTTGAAGGGTTTGGTAGAATCTAGCGGGTTTAGGGTTTGGGGTTCAGGGTCTCCGTTCAGTCCCAAGCCTTGCTAGCGAACCAGTCTGGCTGCAGTCTTTGCCAGGAGTCTGTGTGCAGAGTTCCAAGCCCTGTCGCATGTCTGCGACCTCCTGGACGATGCCGGCGTGAAGCAGGCCCAGACCCATATATATATATATATATATATATATACACATACACACACACATATATATATATATACATATACATCGGACAGCCCCCAGAAACTTTTGCGCACGCCTTGAGGCCATCGAAGGAATGGGGGCTGTTTCTGGTTGCAAGCTGAGCCGAAGCCTCCGGCTTGGGCCCTGACCACGAAAACATTTTTCTCGCGCTCAAAACATGGCAAGACATTTTCCATACAAAAAAATGTCGGCCAGCGTCAAGATGGGATGTGATGTAGGCTTCGGTAGGCCGCCTGCGAAAGGCCTCGAGCAGAGGGCTCAGCTTAGCGGGGCAGTCTCGTTCCAAAAGGCCCCGAGTTGCTCCGAGCTTCCGCTTGGGAAGTTGTCAGGCCGAGTTCGAGAGTGTGCCGCTCCCTCAGCTGGCAAGGCGGCTGAAGGCTGTGCATGTTTGGCTGCCTGAGTCTGGGGCGAACAAGTGCACACCTTGTCATTCAGCGAATGGATAGCGAGCAAGATGTGTGGCGGCCCAGATAATCACCAGCTCCTGAACATACGCGCCCCAGCGCCAACCCCCTCAAACTGGAAGTTAGTGCCAGCATCCCACACCCTCGAAGTACCGAGATTTAGGGTGGATCGAGCCAGCCACGTGAATGATCCTGTAAGCCAAAAGTCAACGAGGTCTGGTGACGTACTTCTGTGGACCTCCGGCTCTTCGTGCCTCTCCTGCGTGCCCCGTGCAGAGCACAAAGCATAAAAATCCCCTTATCGGTCTCCAAACAATGGCAATTATGAGTGAGCACCGAAGTCCTGAACTCTAATCTCTACTCTTGATTGTGGCTGAGAGCATTGCACGGATGCATCGATCCTGCCTGAATCATTGACGCTTCCTTATATAGTCCGGGTAGTGAGAGCACTCTACCCGATGGCTGGGATCGAACTGGGACCCCTGTGACCTTGTCGGGATCTGTTCAGGGTTGCCCTGCCACCAGCAAGAACGCCCAGTGCCTATGCACCCAGCAAGACCGAGACTACTCGAAAATGCTTCAGGTTTTTGGATTGGTGTTGGGATGGTCTAGCACATCTTGTACGATCTGGATTGAAAGTCGCTTTCGCTTCCGCGCTGTCGCTTGAAGTTGAAGCCGTGCTACACCGCATGACTGGAAGGTGATACGGGTGGTGGCAAATGTAAGGCTCAGTTGCTTTCGCTGCCATTAGTGCTGCGCAGCTCCATGGGCACCAAACTACGTGTGCAAAGCTTGGCTTGCTAGCCAGGTACGGACTATGCGCCAGCTCTTGCAGCTTCTGCCACAGCTGCGATTGCAGGTGTTCTGTGCCTTGACTTTTGAGCATCATTGAGGATGGCAGGGTGCGATGGGGCGGTTCCGGACTAGGTGACAAAAAGGCTTGGGTGGGATCGGCCAAGTAGATCAGGCTGGCTTGAATGAGACTTGGTCAGCTTAGGATAGGCTCGGTCTACGAGTTGGCTAGGTTCGATTTCATGCTAGGTCTGTTGTTTTGGTTGCATGTTTTGGGGCTATCATCGCTGAGATCGGGGCGCACGCATGCGCGCGCGCGGGAGATGCAGAAATGACAGCGGGAGCAGTGTGGCAGGGCTGTGAGTAGGAATGGCGCAGTGATTGTGAATGTACGCAGCGGAGCGCACCAGGTAGCCGATGCACGACACGTCGGAAGCATTTCCACAGCGGAACCTCACTCAGCGAACTGCCAAGGTGACTATCGTGCAGGTGGCGCAGAGTCTGTCTACATTGAGTAGGCGGCGGAAAAAGGTGCATCGTGAAGTAGGTCATACTTCCGCCTTGTAGATGATGTTTAGCTTCGCCAAGCCGATGGCCTTACGACGGTTGGCAGTTTTCGCTGTGGCCCACAGTCTTTAGCGACGAGGATAGGAACAAGGGCGGGGCAACTGTGCAACATGCCTTGGTCCTGCAAGCATCTCGCATGCAAGCTATCAAGGTCCTTTGCCAATGCAGAAGAAAGAAGGAGTGGAAGGAGTATCGTAAGTTTCTCCAGCAACTTGACTTGCTGCTGCCGCAATGGGGCAGACGGCATGCTGTTGCGAGAAGACGGATGATGAGAGGATGCTCGGCCGCATTACATCGCAACCTGCGTAACACGAGCGGTTTCGGATGGTGGAAGTCTGAACCTCGCGTAGACTTGGGAGGAAGTCGGTGGTTTCGTGTCATGTGGCTGCATGCGTGGTTGTGTTCTGAACTAGATTCGTTTCCTGGCCCTGCAGGCTCGTGGCCGTGTCCTCGCTGACGCCCGGCGGCATCGCGTCGACGGCAGAGCTTCGGCTGCATTTGGGAAGCGTAGAGTGGCATATTATGGTATATTATTATGGTATATTATTATGGTATAGTATTATATGGTATATTATGTAGCTGCGTAGCACTAGGACTTGGGCCTGGTAGGGCCGAAGCCTCGCCCCCCCGGAAAGCAAAGCGCTGAGAACGCCGAGGACTCCTTGGTCCGCTCCCCAGGAGCGACTGAGTCGAATCGTTGCTTTGCTCCAGACTGAATGGCCCTGAGCTGAGTTTCAAGGCCGGAGGCGGTGGTCGGGATGTTTTATCGCACCAAGGTCTTAGGAACGCAGATGGACGGTGCCGTGAACAGTGCGGCTGTCGGGGAAGTGACTTTTTGGGAGCAGCCGCGCCCTTGAAGGATTGTTGAACGGGAGTGCTGCTTCCTTGCTTTTTCATGGCTGAACCTCTTTGCCGGACAGATTCTCTCGAGGCATTCCTAGCGGGACCCTGGCCCACTTCCGAATCTGCTAATCTCTCGACTCTCGAGGTTGGAGGGTGTGTATGTCCGGGAGCAAGACGGGAAGTACATGGCATCTGCCTCAGCTGCGGGCAGTTGGAGGATGCCAGGAGTGTGGTCGTTTTCCAGAGTTTGACGGTGATGGGATGCCAAGACTCGAAGACCCCGCTGTTAGCATCTTTCGGATGGCTTTTTCTTAGTCTTGCCTGAGGTCCTTCTGATCGGCACACAGTATTGTATGAGGATACGGGTGGCCCGCTTAGCACCTGCATAGAGATCTGCATCTACGTACTTTGAAGATCGTTAGAGTCTTCCTGCCTTTTCGGTATGATCTCAGTGTCGCCTTAAAGAGGCACCAGAGCCAGCACATGCCGCGGTACACCCTGGATTGAATGGTCGGGAAAAGAGTAGGTAACCTTTAACCTTTTTTGGGTAGTATAGTCCCTATATAATCCCTATATAGCCAAAAAAGGTTACCCTTTGGTTCCCCATGATACCCGACAAGTAGGCTAGGGGCGAGCCTCTTGGCTCGAGCCATGAGGCGAGCATCCAGTCCAACCTCGTGCACTGGGCGGACGAGTTTCGGTCGGATCCCTCCGAGCTCTCCATCACGGGCACCAGGGAGGCAGGGCTTCTTTGGTCTTTTGCGTACAGCTGACACCTGATCTGTCATCATGAGACTTGGTGCCACTTTTTTATAGGTCTGCCTCAGCCTGGGTGGCCGGGTCTACACTGCGGAAATCTCTCCAAGCCTGGGGACCTTACTCTGGGACGATGGTGAGGTTTGGGCGAAACGCAAGCCCAAGGCTTGAGCGTTGTCGCCCGTGGAACCGGCTCAGCTAGCAAGGACCTGTCATTGTTTGTCGGGTCTTAGTCAGAACCTTAGGATTGAGGGATGGGCCGCAATCACGCAACCCGAATTCAGCCGGAATCCTTCATAGAGAAGGCCGTCTGTTTGGAAGGTGATGTCAGGGCATTTCTGCAGATCTGACTGCGTGTGTTCACTCCAGTGCAGGATCACCCTAAACTCCGCTTCAATCAGGATGCGAAGGGAGAAATGCCCGACAGTGACCGCACCGCGGTGATTGTACTTGGTGGTGGCGCCTTTTCGTCGGGAGGATATGGCCCAAATGGTGCATTTCCCGTCATGTGCTGTTCAAAACCGATGCCCGGTGCTGTTTTTTTGAGGCTCGGCCAGGAGACCTAATGGCTTCGCACACTGCGGGTGGCAATTGCAACACGCCCATGAGCCTGTGCAAACTCTGTTGCTTCTGCTAGTCCAGACATTTTGCTTCATTCATTCGTTCATTCGTTCACACACGCACACAGACACAGAGACACACTTTTTTCTCCTGCCGAGCATGACTGCTGTATGGTTCTTGTGCACCTCAAGTATCCTGGCATCAATTCAGCAAGCAGACGTTGTCAGACCCAGACGTGGCTGATTCGTGCGGGCGTGGCCCAAAAGCAAGGTCGGCGCACTGGAGCACATCATGGACATGGACATGACATGTCTAGCGGGCGATGCTAACGAAACAGTCAAAGCGTGAATGTTTCCGATACCCAGTCCTGCCCCAGTGAATGCTGCCAAATATCGGAGCGGACTGAGCAGGACGCCCTTCCTTAGCCCCGATCGTTGCAGCCTTTCGCCGCGCCCGGTCCGTTGCAGTCACGAAGCATGAATTGATTTCATCATACTGCTCGAGCCCACTCCAGACAAGCTACAAACCCCTCAACAACCCCAAGCTTGTGAAGACCGAGCAATACGCCTGCGTGGCGGCCGAGCATATCAAGTATCGCCAGCGTCATACTGCGCGTGTTCTTAAGATATCCCAACCCTTGCAGCAGAAGGCGGTCTTGCAAAAGAGAATGCAACATGGCCCGCATTGCCCGACGTGCACTTCGCATAAAGGACTGTCATAGGGATGGTCATACATGCATGTCTTGATTCTAGGAGGCCTAGTGGCTTGGGAACCCAAAAGTCCAGGCCTCTTTTCACAACTCGCAGGAGCTGCCGCTCTTCAGCTTGCGGCAGCCCTTCCCAGAGATCGGGCAGCCTTCCGGAGTGCCTGAGATGCAAGTTGTGGAAATGGCCGAAGAGCCGAAACCCTGGCAGTGCCTTCGTGGACTTCGGAAACTTTCCACAATCCCAGTCTCGGCGGCCCAAGGAGCTCGCGCTGAACATGTTCGAGGACCGCTACGCAGCTTGCCTTCGACTGCCGGGGAGGTATCAGATAGCACTTGCTGGCCTCGGAGCACGGATTGACTCACTCTTCCGAGGTGGAGCTGGTGCGGCGACTGGAGTCCGGGAAAAGCCCCCACTTCGGCTACACTGCCATCTCCCACCGGCGCGTGCGAGGGCGAGGCTGGAGCGCGACCCCCCGCCTCAAACGCACGGCCTAATGTGCCTAGTGTTGCGATGCGCCCTTCATGCTGGCTAGTCAGAAGAAGCCGTGATGAGAGTCCTAACATGCCCCTTAAGGCCCTTGTTGCATCTGCTGCCTGGGGCATCTGAACTTGTGGGTCATGCGACCTTTATGGCGCAGTCGCCGTGAACTTGCCTATCTTGCACGGGTGTGAGAGAGCCGAAATCAGTGTGTGGGTTGCGAGTACGGCACAGCCGAAGCTTCCCCAGATACTTACCTTTGGTTAGTAGGGAATGGAGGAATGGGGTACAAATTATAGCTACTATTACTACCACTCTTCCAATCCCTACTAACCAAAGGTAAGGATACTGCTCAGGGGTGCTCCTCAACGGCCGCGGCTTCCGATGGGTGGGTTCCCGGAAGTCCGGCCCGGTTGTCCTGCAGGCGCGAGCGCTCGACCGCTGCTGGTCGGAAGGTTTCGTTATTCATGTTTGTCGTTCAATCTTATGAGATAATGTTGTGCGTAGCAACTGTGGCATCCCAAGCACGGGAACTACAATGGAAGATTCTTCCAGTATCTGTTGCAAACCATCAGGATGCTAGGTGTGCTCATGGAAGTTGACAATGTAGTAGCCACACTCGCAGCAGTCACCATGATAGTAAACATAGCGAAAATGGTGAAAATGCAACGGTGCGGCGGATTGATGGTGATGATGATGGTGGTGGTGGTTGCGACGTTGACGATGCGAAATCGAGGAAAGGAATGCCGAAGAAGGGGCATCGAAGGAATCTCTTCGCAAGAAGGCGAGATCAAGGAAGCAACGTGGTTTTTATATGCGAAGTGATTTTTGCGCAATGTTGGTCAGGACAGCTTGCTCTTGGCGCTAAAGGTTGTTGATGGGTCTTCCAGGACTCGGCATCCGAAGGTCTCCCAGTCTCCCAAAACAACGACAGGTATCTTAGTGTGTTTGGGATGGTGTGATGGCCAACAGGATTCACTTGATGCGTCGTCCTCCCTTCCAAAAAAGTCCACACGAGCCGCCAAAAGCGGAGTTCCTGCTGGACTGTGTTCGAGACAAAAGAGCAACCAGAAGGCAGAATAGATCGAATAGATGAAGGGACGACACGTCGAACTTCCTGACCTTGCAAACAGAGAGCCAAGGTTTTCGGATTCTCTCCATCCGTAGCGAAGTGGTGAAGGAAGGGAGCGACCCTCTGCCACTCGTCCCTTAGGGTTTCAGGCGGGCGTGTACAAGTCTGTGCAAAAGGGTCTACGTAAGGTTTACAGAATGGTCGATTCGTGTTGTTTCGCTTCTCCTGCCATGCACGTCAAGCCCTTCCGGGCCATCCCGAACCATGAGAGCACCTACTGGAATGAAGCAGCGTTGCCCGGTGGCTTCTGCTTCACCCCGGCTAGTCCTGCACGGTCTGTCATGGGCTCGAGGACATCTGGTCTGTGTAGCTGAAAGGTTGACCCTTCTTGAAGAGCACGCCGAGCGGAGGTACATTGCAACGGTGCAGACGTTTGCAGACCGCGACCTTTCGCGAATGCAAACTGGTGGCAGAGAACATCCTGCGCTCGAGACGATCTGGGGAATCTCGCGAGCGAGAGAGAAACTTTGTTTTTCGAAGTGTCTATACTGGGAATGTCCGGTGGTCACTGAACTTCTTCTGTATCGATGACCGCAAGGCTTGAAAACCGAAAGCGTCCGAAGTGACATGTTACATGTTCTGAAAGGTAGGTTGCGCATTTCATTTCGCTCCTTCAGTGTTCGGGCCGTTTTGTATGTGACGAGGACAGGTCTACGTCCAAGCCGGTGGAGGTCTGGGCTTTGCCTCGTACCATTTTCACCAGGGCGAGTGCTACATCTCCTACGAGAGGGCAAACGACAATACCTTCCCGAAGCTGGACGACGGCAGCCAGCCCCCCGCGAAGAAGTACTTCGAAGAGGTTGCTTACGACCCAGACACTCGCTGTTTTCGAGGAGTCATTGACTGGTCTCCAAGCTCCTGGCAGGGGGACGAGTCACTTGACTGATCATGACAGCCATGACTAACATCCAGGCCCAAATGTGCTTCTTGTCTACTGTTTAAAGTTTGTCCCAAGCAATGAAGGAAGTGGGTGTACAACATGGTCTTTTCTGCAGATCTGGACAGCATTGTTGCGGGCACCGTGCATGCTATCCCTGCGAACAAAGCAAAGCAGACAAAGGAGCTGCGCTTCGGAGTGAATCTTGGTTTCGTTGGAAGCCTTTGCGTTTATATGTCTGGAAATTTATGGGGACGTAGTGTTTTCCAGGCGCACGTATAACTAATTACATTTGGGAGCTAGATAGGTAGATAGACAGATAGACCCTCCTTTGCTCCGAAGCAAATTTGTTGTCAGCTGCCGTCGCACAATCAAAGCCATCAACTAGATTAGCATGCAGCGTACTTCGAGACGGTCCCAACGTGGGCACGCACGCTACGACCTCATGATCCGTGGAGCCCAGGAACCTCCACTACCGCCTCCTTCGTGCGGCATGGATCATGCCTGACGATGTGAAGGAAGCCCTGATGCAGCCTGGGCCTTGGGCCGTGGAAAAGCAAAGAGGCTGCTCAACGGCGGCAGCCTGATGATTGCCCAGCCAATGTCATGTGTTTTGTGGGAGCGCATGTTGGCACATGGTCCCTCTACTTGTTGTGGAATCGTCCAGTCCCAGCGAACAGACCCCAGCAATACATGGAGACCGACGGTACTTGCATGCGCACCCACAGGTCGAAACCGAGACAATGGGAGAAGTGAAATGGCGACTGTATGTGCACATGCACCAGAAGAATATAGGTACATAGCAGGTACTTTGGTTTCGATCTCGGCCCAGGTCGGGGGTTGCCGCCTCGGATGTAGAAGCGGCGCTGGGTGCAGCGGAGGCCGGAGTTGTGAGGGATGTTGGCTTTCAGGGAACCTTCGGGATTCAGAGGCTGGGAAGCCTGCTTTGCGGTCTCCCTTCTGTTCTCAAATCCAGCGCTTTCGGGGGTACTGTGCCCTGGCCTGGGGGCTTAAGGGCGGAATCTGGCTTGAGCCAATGCGTATGACATCAGAAGGTGTTTAGTTTTGTCCGTCTGACCTGGGAACTATTCTAGAGTGCTTCCCGCGACTTGCCTGCTGCGAAGATAGTCAGGCACTGCTTGAACTTGCATAAACAGATGTTCCAATGGAAACCATAAACCTTGATATCCACTGCTTTGCTTTTTGTTGTTCAGAAAATGTCCTAGTGGAGTGCAATGTTTTGCCACACCCCTCAGGCAGGCTCTGCTACGGAGTCTTCTGCTGTGCCTCCAGGATGCATTTGCCGGTTTTCATGGTACAAGAATCAATCGGGGTTCAATCCAAGGAGCCTCAGAGTTGATTTTCGGTTCCCCGACTGCCTGGGGATTTCTGTTTTTTTTTCTTTGGCGGCTGGACTTTGCAGCGCCCCCTGCCAGGCAGGCCTCGTCTTCGATGATGAGTGCTTTGGCTGCGTCTATTTTTCCCCACTCCGCCATTTGCTGTCGAAGTCTGTAGGCTGATTGTGCAGCTTTGGCTTGAGCACGACTTGGGTGCCAGTGAATCCAGTCTATCTCTGTGCCCTGCACGGAAAACTGCTCGTTTGGGGTGGGAAGCGTATCTGAAACCTCGCGAAAGGCTTCCTCGACTGTTACCAACACTCTATTGGGGCTTCCTGTGTAGTGTACCCTCAAACCCTGTGCTGCGGACGTAGTAACCTGGGGCCAAGGCCGGCGACGCACGGTGCGCTGGGCCAAAGCTGTGGCGCTGAACCCAAAGCGCGAAAGAAGCCCGGCTTTGCGTAGATGGCTTTGGGTTTGCAAACTGCAACTGGCCTTTGGGTGCAGCGGGATATTTCGGGTTTAATGAGGTGGTGGCTTGCAGCTCAAATCACAGGCATTAGGGCCTTGCATTCTGCCTGCTTCTGTCCTGGGTCATCGCGTCGATCATGTTCTCAGTTCGGGTTGCAGCAAGGAGGGTCTTTGTATTCGGGCTAGCCGGTTCAGGCTTCTTTGGTTCTCGTCAGTTTCAGTTGCAGGCAACAAAGTTTCGATGGTCTTGTTCCGGTAAGCGTCTCACGATGTCAACTCTAGGCTGGATTTGCCAGGTCCTGATGTTTTTGGCTGGTAGTTCAGAATTCTTCGGCTTCCGGACGGCGTCCTGGGATTGTCCGTGGTACTTCGTACGGTGTGTGTGTGTGTGTGTGTGTGTGTGTGTGTGTGTGTGTGTGTGTGTGTGTGTGTGGTGTGTGTGCGCGCCGCGGTGAGCTGATCGTCAAGTTGCTCTCGATCTGGAGAGCATTAGGTACCCCCCCTGGTGGCATGGAGGTTGATGTCACGTTTTTTCGAAGACGTTGCTTAACTTAAGTGCACAGGTTGAATGCGTCTCCCCAGCATCGGCGCTTGCTTTGCCCACTCAGGCTGGTCTCGCCTGGAGGCCATCGGAACGCTGAAGAGGCTCGAAGTGTCAGGGACAAGGAGCTGCTGTGGCATTCACAGCTTGTACGCGGAGTAGCCTTCAAGGCATAGGGGTCTAGCAGCGTATGCATGGAACCTCGACCAGATTGAGAACCCAGGCCAGGTCGAGGTTCCCAGGTGTAAAAAGGTTACGAAAGCCTGGACCTTGTGGTCTGGTTAGCAAATGTCTCTAGCTCTTTGGCCCAGTGTTGGTTCGGATGTGCCAGACCACTCTCCAGTTCGTGTGGACTTTGGTGTAGACAAGACTCGTGCTTCGACCTCTGTGCCGAGTGAACGACTTGATATCCTGGGGCCAGTCTACGACGAAGGTGGTCGCTTGTGAGGAAGCTTTGAGAGTTGATGCCGGCAGCAGAGTGTCCGAACCGGACACCCGGGTTTGTGATTGGTTGGTAGAACCCTCAATGCAAGGCCTGGATCTGATTTCCGGGGACACGGGCGAGCACCATCCAAAACTCTGCGAATCCTTCGCTGCTACCAGCCAGGCTTGGCACGCCGCCCGTCGCTGTGCCACAAGCAGAGCTCCGGCATGAAGGAGGGCTAAAAGATGTGGGGGGAGGCGGCGGGGTTTTCCTGAGCCTTCCGGCATGAGGCTCTGCAAGTGTCTGCAGCGGGTCCAGTGTGACTGGAACTCAAACTTTCAAGGCGATGAGAGGACGAAGACAGTAACGAGTATCAGTAAGCGTACTCCTGCAGTTGGAACGCTTTCGGGCCTATTGTTGTTTGCCGGCAGCTGCAGTGCGGGCTTCGCTTGAGCCGCAGTTTGGGTCTCGGCAAGAGTGCTTTGCCTCATGTATGTCCAACCGAGCCCAGGAAGATGCCTTGTTCTCCGTGCTATTGGCTTCCGCCGAGCAAACGGAAGGAGCAGGCGAGGCGGTACTGTAGTATTCGATGGGGAATCTGCACACTTGGGATTCCACCGGAACATCCGTTCAGGATGTCAACTGACCGCCGAGGGTGGTAGGTCCAGAAGTCCTGACTCGAAGTTCCCTTGGGCTGGAGCTTTGCTTGCAAGAAATCTTTGATCTTGGATAATCTTGGCAGGAGAGCTCCAGAGCAACGCGGAGGACGCCCTGCGCGCTTGCTGGGAGGACTCCGGGGATGCCAAGGCCACCTCTGGATAAACTGGGCGTGGCTGGCCACTGTCGATCCTGAGGTCACCAGGTGTTATTGGGGCTTGGGGCAAGGATTGCAACGTTTGAAAACCCAAGTCAAGAGCTTAAGCAGCTTGGCAAGACCCCCTTATGCACAGAAACGGCAGCTGCACATTCCCATGTGACACATGTGGCACCATCGAGTTGACGGCAGGTGTTTAACAGCAGCACATGCCTGGTATCACCAACCGCAACTACTTGGAGCTCCTTAACATGACCGTTACGTACATTTCGACAACAGATCGATTCATGATTCCACGTGGAACCGGTTCAGGTGAATGCAGAGATGGCGCGAGGAATTGAGCTGCTGGACGACCAGAAGGCCGCAGGGCAGTTGGAGATGTGCATCCGTTGGGCCACAAGGCATCAGGGGTCGAGCTGCCTTGCAGAGTTCTGATTTTTGGGGTGGGGACGCTGTGCTCGGCAGTAGGCCCACTGACCAAACATGCCCGTGTACATACCCGGCTGGCCTTCGATAAGGAAATGTATTAACACGACTAGCCAGATTGGGCACGAGTTGCATGGCTGCTTTGTTCGGAGCTAGGGGCCTTGCGTGAAGTCGGCATGGGCTTCTGGTGCACGTGATAAAACCGATTGCAGCACGCAGATGCATTCGCAACTTCTGCCAGGCTGATGAGGCCATAGAGAGCTTCACTCGCGTGCCCTGTCTGTCTCACAGTTGTAGGACTTCGCGCTGTCGTCTTCAATGTCGTAACTCTTGTTTATCATGTATACGCAGCTCGATTCTATCATATTTCGTTATGCTCCATTCAGTTACTTCCAATAATATTACATACCATATTCCACCATAAGTGGCTTTGTTGGAGGTTCCTGAGTCGCCCGAGGTGACGGAGATGGCACCCAACTTTGCGGAGGGCTTCCACAAGCTCTCCATTGCGCACTACGCGAAGCAGGAGCAGCCGACAGCGGCCGCATCTTTTCTTTGGGGGGAGTTTGTGGAGTTTGTGTGGAGAGCGACAGCAAGCTCAAAGCCACTTTTCAGGAATCTGCCCGCTTCGTTCAAGAGCCCCCTGTGTAGACAGCCGAAGAGTCGCCACATCGTTCTGCCTCGATTCGCTTTTCCATTCCTACATGCAACATCTAGCAAACAGGAGTTCGAGAAGGCTGTGGAAGATTGCCGGCAGGCTGGGTTCTGCTGTCTCAGGGCAACGGGGAGAGACTAGATGCACATCGGAAGACGCAGTGTCGTGCCGTCCTGCCATCTGCAGTGCTATCAAATGCGGAGAGCAGCCAAGAGTTCAGTTTGGCATTCCCTTGCCCGCACAGCTTCTAGCAAGGTCTGGGCCTACTTCTTCCGTGTTTCTTTGGCATGGCTCAAGTGCATCGTCGGTCGTCAGCTTGGTATTCCTCCGCCTCCCATCAAGACTTGGAAACATGCTGCGCCCCATGATTAGCATGGCCTTCGCGTTTGCGAGCGCGGCTGCTTTCCCAGTGACAGTCACTAACTGCGGTGTGTCAAACACGATTGCGTCTGCGCCAAGCCGAGTCATCACGATGAACCAGGGGGCGACGGAATTCCTGCTTGCGATGGGTCTGGAGAGCAGCATGGTGGGCACTGCTTACCTGGATGATGAGATTTGGCCACAGTACGCATCAGCCTATTCTCAAATCAAGGTCTTGAGCTCTGGGTATCCCAACGAGACCCACATCATGGCACACTCTCCAGACTTCATCGTGGCGTCTTACAGCTCTGCCTTCCGACACAACTACACCTCGGGCGGCAGGGTGCGTGGCATCTTCTCTTCAGAAACGGTGGGACCTTGTGAAGGTCCTGGTTCCGAATGGGGCAGCGGCCCGAACACTTGCCGCCCTGAGTTGCATGCAGCCGGCATCGGCACGTATCTTTTCGAGGATGCGTGCGAAAACCGCTCCCTGCGCCCAACTACCGTCACGGAAGACACCGTCTACGACGAGTTGCGCGAGCTCGGGAGGATCTTCGGCAAGGATGTGGAGCCTCTGGTGACGGAGATGAAGGCTGACTTTGACCAAGCAGCGACTATGGTCTCCTCCGGGATGGCTGGTGCGCAGATGAAGACCGTGTGGCTGGATTGCATCGACTGTTGCTCCACAGAACCGGGTGAGGAGGAGCAGGTCTTCGTGGGCGGTGGCACCGGGGCACCTAACATGCTGATGCAGGAGGCCGGGCTCAGCAATATCTTTGCCGACCGCCCTGGCAACTGGGTCTGCGTCAACGTGAGCGACATCGTCAGTGCCGTCCCTGATGTCATCGTCGTGGTCGATGCCTCGTGGGACACCGCAGTAGAGAAGATCAAGTGGATGTACAATGATGCGGAGTTCTGCAAATTGGAGGTGTTGAGGACAGCCCGGTTCGTGTCGATCCCCTTCAGTGCCACAACCCTCAGCCCTCGCAACGGCCCTGCAGCCCTGGATTTGGCAATGGCATCTCTGCATGTCCGCACGGGCTCACAGGCACCGACGCAGCAGTCGGGGGTGGGTTCCTTCAGCCCCTTCTTCCTGCAAGCCCAGACTTCCTGTCAGCGCTGTCCTCTGAACGCCGTCAACGTGATCTACGACGACACCTCCGGGATTGCTTACACTCCTCTTTGTAACACCACCACCACGACCACCACAACCACGACGCAAGATGCGGAAGCGTCTAAGGCCAGCTGTGCTTTGCCTGTTGGCTTCCTGCTGGGCTTGGCCACCATCGGATTTCTCACTCCGGCCTTCCTTGCCAACTGATGACCTGCACGAGTTTTGGGGAGTGCGCAGCAAGGGTGTCTGGTCGAAGTAAGGGGACGACATTATATAGGATGGCATTGCGTCGTCCTGCTGCGTTGCGCACTCCCGCAATTTTGCGTCGAATACTTCCCGGCGGCCCTGCAAGCCGCCTTGGGTTTGCTGACAAATGCGATGCGAAGCAATCGCACATGAGGGGAACATGTCCAAACACGCCATGTGCACGAGAATTGCTACAGTGGCGACACTGTGAGGTGCTCGATTTGTCAAATGTTATTTCATAAGCTGATTTCTGAAACAGTGTTGTCGCTCTAGCATGCTGCATCTTACACAGACGGCGGGTGCAACTATTGCACCGCGCACGATTTTAGCTAGCTGTGTCCGAACCACGACGCATGCTCCGAGGACCTGACGGCGACAGGCTGCGTTCCCTAATTGAAAGCCGATTTCAATCCTGTCAAGCTGGGATAAGCTGGCTGTTGGTAGTGCCCGCAGGCTCTCAAGCTGCAGCCGCGGCACTACTGGTGCGCCGGGATGGTTGCAGTTTCAGTGTCATAGAGCTGCTTGTTCAGGTTGTGAGATCTCAGGCATGTTGAGCAGGGTTGCCGGTGTTGTGTTGCATGTTGTGCAGAATGACGGGTTGGCAGCTGACATCCTCAACTTGTGCGGGCTTGGCTTAGCTTGGCAAGCATAATAGTAGCAGTGGCGGTAGCAGTGTCAGCTGCAGCAGGAGGAGGAGTGGTAGTCGTAGTAGTAGCAGGAGGAGTAGTAGTAGTAGTAGTAGTAGTAGTAGTAGTAGTAGTGGTAGTAGTGGTTCAAAAAGTTGTTGTTGTTGTGGTGGTGGTGGTGGTCGTGGTGGCGGTACTCGTTCTTGTGGACGCAGCAGGATGTCAGTCTGTCCTCTGCCAGTTCCCATGTTGAGTTCTGGCTTGCGGTTGGCACCGGCCAGGTGCTTGACGGGCATGGGCAGCTGCACGGTGCTTAGCGGTCTTGCCACTGTCCAGGGCACATTGATGCCCTTCAAGCACAGGCGATTCGAGCGATTCGGATTTTGGGTTTCTACTTCTACCGTTCTCGAGCTTGTGGCTTGTGGGGTTCTGGATTTTGGAACTATGCTTTGTTCGGAGTTCGGCTTTGTCGGGTTTCGGACCGTAATGCAAAGCTGTTAAACGGGTCCACTTCGCCGTGTTTGGTGAGGCCACCATGGGCTCCTACGGTTAAGGCCATGTCATGTTCACGTTTGTGGCAACATGGCAAAAACTTGTAGAGCAACAAGAGCTGCACTTTTGGTTTGATTCCGAGCATGAAGCGAAACACCACCGTGTCTTTCTGAGAGTTTTGCAAGCGCCGCCTATCTGTCTGTTTGGTTCTGCATTGTTCTGAGGCTACTGGGAGCTGGATGAGAAGCAGAAAGCACGAGAATGTTGGGAGGCTTGCTATGCTCTAAACTCGGCTATGCTGGAGGTAAGTCATCCTTCAGGCTCTCCTCGAGCTTTGCCTAGTCTGGAAATGCTGACTCTACTTAACAATGATGTTGCGAGACCCGCAGGAGGTCCCGCTACTCCGCTACAATAGATAAGACGGGCTGCTCAGACAAGTTCGAGATCTGTGTGTTTTTGAAGTGGTCCTTGTGTGTGCCAGGCAGCGCTGGAGATCTTCCCCGCTATGCCTGGAGCGCGCCTGCCCTAGAGGGCAGGAGAAGAGCTGTCGCCATAAGTCTTCCTCATGCCTAGGCTTACTGCAAGGCTTTGGCATGCATTGGCTTGGCTGAAGCGGCGCGATGACGCATCCGAAGACAGGCGAAACTTTCAGTTACAGGCTCCTTAAAGTAGATCGCACGTGCTAGTGGGGACGTTGGGAAACTGGCAGTCAGCCGGTGACCGATGCGTCCATTTCTGCATGGTCATGCACACAGAGTTTTTGTGTGTTGATCGAGCGGCATGATGCATGAACTTGTCGAGGGAAACCTGGGGAAGCTTCATTGTATCTGCATCCCTTTCGGAGACAGGGTCGGCGGATGACAGCCATGTGACACGTGCTCTGAGGCAGTCGAAGATCGAAGAAGCCGCCTCTTTGCTGACATAGCGAACATCCCCTCGATATTCCTTCTGGTTTGATTATTCTGTTCTGGGTCGAGATTTGGCCGTCAGTTCTTGCCCGGACCTAGCGACGCATCAGCGAGAAGCCCTAAGCTCTTAATTTCCCAAAAGCGCCGGCAAACTCCGAGATCCTCCGAGTTCCGAGTTTGACTTAGCTTCGGCATAGGATCGTCTATGCGTTTGCGGCTGCAGGGCTTTTCGCAGCTACAAAGTTCTGAGGAATTGAAAGACATCATGGACGAGCACCCCGGCTCCGAACGCCAAGAGCGTGGTGTGTGGCCATGAAGCCTTCCAAAATGCTCAGAGCGAATTGTTGTTCACACACAGCCCTGCACAGAGTCTGCTTGACAGATCCGTTTGTCGCGCCAGAGCTAAGGCATCTGAGGCCAGCTTGCACTGTCGGCAGTTTCAGCTTGTCGAGCCCGAAACCATTCGAGAGCTCGCGTCTGCTCGAGCACCTGACACCCAATGTGGAAGGCCCGTCATCGACCGATTTGTCAACGGCTTCCAGAGCGAGAATGCTGAGCTCGCGACGGTGCAGCTGCCTCAGCAAACGCAAATGAAGAGATGGACAGTTCTTTGGTGCCCGCAGAGAGTGGCAGCATGCTGGGCTAACCTCTTCCTAGTTGAAGATTGCCACAGACATCGGAGAACGAGACCCTCAGAAAGACAAGTTGTGATGACCGGCAAACGACTACTCATCCACAGATCGACTCGATACTTCCGAGTTCTCACTCTCAGTTTAGGATCCTTCTTGGGGTCGTTTGGTTCTGATGCTGAGGTTTTCTGGAGACAGCCATTGGGAGCCTTGGGCATATAATGCGGGCCTGCAGAGTTTATTTAGACCAAAACTTCCCCAGAGCACCTGCCGACGCAGCGCCCTGGGTTTCGTGCAGCCCATGCAGTGACGGGCCCCCTCGGGTGGTCGCCCCTGCCCGCGGCCTGGGTCTGGCATATGAAGATCAACGGGGTCCTTTTTTCTGGTGGGCTCCTGGTTCGATCAAGCTGATATTCAATAATAGCCGGGACATGTCGGAGAACTCATGCAAGTTTCTGATGGTGGGGTCTAGCAACCGGGCGAACTTCATGCAAACATGTCCCATTTCCAGTCCTGGATTTCCTCAGCTTGTGGGAATAAGCCGAGGATGTCCACCGACTCAAGATTGACCGAGACAACTTCCCAGACGCCTCTCGCATTGATCCACAATTTCGAGTTTGTCTAGGTGAAGCAGTAAAAGTAGTCTAAAAGCATCTGCCAAACTAGGCAACTTGTAGAATCGCAGAACCACTGTTATCACATTTTCTGGGCCTAAGCCTGGCAAGTCCCTTTCTTGGCTGTCCAGCTAAGCTGAAGGCCGAGTCCCAGAGTCGACGTTTGTTTGTGTTTCGGTGTGAATCAGAGACCACCCGAAGGGAGCGACTTTGGTGTTTCGGTGTGAATCAGAGACTGAGAGGGGGAGCCTGTCGCAAGATCCCCGGTTTCCTTGGCATGGCTCAAGTGCATCGTCGGTCGTCAGCTTGGTATTCCTCCGCCTCCCATCAAGACTTGGAAACATGCTGCGCCCCATGATTCGCATGGCCTTCGCGTTTGCGAGCGCGGCTGCTTTCCCAGTGACGGTCACTAACTGCGGTGTGTCAAACACGATTGCGTCCGCGCCAAGCCGAGTCATCACGATGAACCAGGGGGCGACGGAATTCCTGCTTGCGATGGGTCTGGAGAGCAGCATGGTGGGCACTGCTTACCTGGATGATGAGATTTGGCCACAGTACGCATCAGCCTATTCTCAAATCAAGGTCTTGAGCTCTGGGTATCCCAACGAGACCCACATCATGGCACACTCTCCAGACTTCATCGTGGCGTCTTACAGCTCTGCCTTCCGACACAACTACACCTCGGGCGGCAGGGTGCGTGGCATCTTCTCTTCAGAAACGGTGGGACCTTGTGAAGGTCCTGGTTCCGAATGGGGCAGCGGCCCGAACACTTGCCGCCCTGAGTTGCATGCAGCCGGCATCGGCACGTATCTTTTCGAGGATGCGTGCGAAAACCGCTCCCTGCGCCCAACTACCGTCACGGAAGACACCGTCTACGACGAGTTGCGCGAGCTCGGGAGGATCTTCGGCAAGGATGTGGAGCCTCTGGTGACGGAGATGAAGGCTGACTTTGACCAAGCAGCGACTATGGTCTCCTCCGGGATGGCTGGTGCGCAGATGAAGACCGTGTGGCTGGATTGCATCGACTGTTGCTCCACAGAACCGGGTGAGGAGGAGCAGGTCTTCGTGGGCGGTGGCACCGGGGCACCTAACATGCTGATGCAGGAGGCCGGGCTCAGCAATATCTTTGCCGACCGCCCTGGCAACTGGGTCTGCGTCAACGTGAGCGACATCGTCAGTGCCGTCCCTGATGTCATCGTCGTGGTCGATGCCTCGTGGGACACCGCAGTAGAGAAGATCAAGTGGATGTACAATGATGCGGAGTTCTGCAAATTGGAGGTGTTGAGGACAGCCCGGTTCGTGTCGATCCCCTTCAGTGCCACAACCCTCAGCCCTCGCAACGGCCCTGCAGCCCTGGATTTGGCAATGGCATCTCTGCATGTCCGCACGGGCTCACAGGCACCGACGCAGCAGTCGGGGGTGGGTTCCTTCAGCCCCTTCTTCCTGCAAGCCCAGACTTCCTGTCAGCGCTGTCCTCTGAACGCCGTCAACGTGATCTACGACGACACCTCCGGGATTGCTTACACTCCTCTTTGTAACACCACCACCACGACCACCACAACCACGACGCAAGATGCGGAAGCGTCTAAGGCCAGCTGTGCTTTGCCTGTTGGCTTCCTGCTGGGCTTGGCCACCATCGGATTTCTCACTCCGGCCTTCCTTGCCAACTGATGACCTGCACGAGTTTTGGGGAGTGCGCCTCCATGCCCAAAGTGTACCAGCAAGGGCGTTTGATCGAAGTAAGGGGACGACATTAGGATGGCATTGAGTCGTCCTGCTGCATTGCGCACTCCCGCAATTTTGCGTCGAATACTTCCCGGCGGCCCTGCAAGCCGCCTTGGGTTTGCTGACAAATGCGATGCGAAGCAATCGCACGTGAGGGGAACATGTCCAAACACGCCATGTGCACGAGAATTGCTACAGTGGCGACACTGTGAGGTGCTCGATTTGCCAAATGTTATTTTATAAGCTGACTTCTGAAACAGTGTTGTCGCTCTAGCATGCTGCATCTTACACAGACGGCGGGTGCAACTATTGCACCGCGCACGATTTTAGCTAGCTGTGTCCGAACCACGACGCATGCTCCGAGCGTGAGTCAAAGTCTGCTGAAATTGTGTTTGCTACCGCGGCGGCACTGCTAACTCCATTCGCTGGGAAGGAGGTGCTCAGTTCAAGTTTCCTTGAAGCAGTGATGTCGCTTGAGCAAGCTGCACACAATGGCTAAACCACGCCGCACGCGAGTGTGAGCCAAAGTATGCCAAAGTCTTCCAAGGTTGGGCCACTAACCAGTGAATGTCTTGTGAGGTGGATAACCTGGCGAGGGTTCGTGCAGAATCGGCACTCTGCAACGCTGAAGCTTGGAAACCTCCAGCAAACGTGAGTCAAAGTCTGCTGAAATTGTGTTTGCTACGGCGGCGGCACTGCTAACTCCATTCGCTGGGAAGGAGGTGCTCAGTTCAAGTTTCCTTGAAGCAGTGATGTCGCCTGAGCAAGCTGCACACAATGGCTAAACCAGTCCGCACGCGAGTGTGAGCCAAAGTATGCCAAAGTCTTTGGAAGGTTGGGCCACTAACCAGTGAATGTCTTGTGAGGTGGATAACCTGGCGAGGGTTCGTGCAGAATCGGCACTCTGCAACGCTGAAGCTTGGAAACCTCTTTGCTGGAGAGCAGCCAAGAGTTCAGTTTGGCATTCCCTTGCCCGCACAGCTTCTAGCAAGGTCTGGGCCTACTTCTTCCGTGTTTCTTTGGCATGGCTCAAGTGCATCGTCGGTCGTCAGCTTGGTATTCCTCCGCCTCCCATCAAGACTTGGAAACATGCTGCGCCCCATGATTCGCATGGCCTTCGCGTTTGCGAGCGCGGCTGCTTTCCCAGTGACGGTCACTAACTGCGGTGTGTCAAACACGATTGCGTCCGCGCCAAGCCGAGTCATCACGATGAACCAGGGGGCGACGGAATTCCTGCTTGCGATGGGTCTGGAGAGCAGCATGGTGGGCACTGCTTACCTGGATGATGAGATTTGGCCACAGTACGCATCAGCCTATTCTCAAATCAAGGTCTTGAGCTCTGGGTATCCCAACGAGACCCACATCATGGCACACTCTCCAGACTTCATCGTGGCGTCTTACAGCTCTGCCTTCCGACACAACTACACCTCGGGCGGCAGGGTGCGTGGCATCTTCTCTTCAGAAACGGTGGGACCTTGTGAAGGTCCTGGTTCCGAATGGGGCAGCGGCCCGAACACTTGCCGCCCTGAGTTGCATGCAGCCGGCATCGGCACGTATCTTTTCGAGGATGCGTGCGAAAACCGCTCCCTGCGCCCAACTACCGTCACGGAAGACACCGTCTACGACGAGTTGCGCGAGCTCGGGAGGATCTTCGGCAAGGATGTGGAGCCTCTGGTGACGGAGATGAAGGCTGACTTTGACCAAGCAGCGACTATGGTCTCCTCCGGGATGGCTGGTGCGCAGATGAAGACCGTGTGGCTGGATTGCATCGACTGTTGCTCCACAGAACCGGGTGAGGAGGAGCAGGTCTTCGTGGGCGGTGGCACCGGGGCACCTAACATGCTGATGCAGGAGGCCGGGCTCAGCAATATCTTTGCCGACCGCCCTGGCAACTGGGTCTGCGTCAACGTGAGCGACATCGTCAGTGCCGTCCCTGATGTCATCGTCGTGGTCGATGCCTCGTGGGACACCGCAGTAGAGAAGATCAAGTGGATGTACAATGATGCGGAGTTCTGCAAATTGGAGGTGTTGAGGACAGCCCGGTTCGTGTCGATCCCCTTCAGTGCCACAACCCTCAGCCCTCGCAACGGCCCTGCAGCCCTGGATTTGGCAATGGCATCTCTGCATGTCCGCACGGGCTCACAGGCACCGACGCAGCAGTCGGGGGTGGGTTCCTTCAGCCCCTTCTTCCTGCAAGCCCAGACTTCCTGTCAGCGCTGTCCTCTGAACGCCGTCAACGTGATCTACGACGACACTTCCGGGATTGCTTACACTCCTCTTTGTAACACCACCACCACGACCACCACAACCACGACGCAAGATGCGGAAGCGTCTAAGGCCAGCTGTGCTTTGCCTGTTGGCTTCCTGCTGGGCTTGGCCACCATCGGATTTCTCACTCCGGCCTTCCTTGCCAACTGATGACCTGCACGAGTTTTGGGGAGTGCGCCTCCATGCCCAAAGTGTACCAGCAAGGGCGTTTGATCGAAGTAAGGGGACGACATTAGGATGGCATTGAGTCGTCCTGCTGCATTGCGCACTGCCGCAATTTTGCGTCGAATACTTCCCGGCGGCCCTGCAAGCCGCCTTGGGTTTGCTGACAAATGCGATGCGAAGCAATCGCACGTGAGGGGAACATGTCCAAACACGCCATGTGCACGAGAATTGCTACAGTGGCGACACTGTGAGATTTGCCAAGTGTTACTGTATAAGCTGATTTCTGAAACAGTGTTGTCGCTCTAGCATGCTGCATCTTACACAGACGGCGGGTGCAACTACTGCATCGCGCACGATTTTAGCTAGCTGTGTCCGAACCACGACGCATGCTGCGAGCGTGAGTTAAAGTCTGCTGAAATTTTGTTTGCTACGGCGGCGGCACTGCGTAACTCCATTCGCTGGGAAGGAGGTGCTCAGTTGAGGTGATGTCGCTTGAAGCTGCACACAATGGCTAAACCAGGCCGCACGTGAGTGCGAGCCAAAGTACGTCAAAGTCTCTGGAAGGTTGGGGCCACTAACCGGTGAAGGCATGTCTTTTGATGTGGATAACCTGGCGAGGGTTCGTGGCATTCCCCTGCCCGCACAGCTTCTGGCAAGGTCTGGGCCTACTTCTTCCGTGTGTCGGTGCGCCGGCCATGCCGTGGAGAGGGTGAGGCCGGCGGGCTAGAAGAGGCTAAAACTCAATACATAATAAGAATAAGAGTAAAACAATAATAGTAGTAATAATAAGAGTAGAAGCTTTTTGCATGGATTTGCTACCGTTCCCACTCTCCTGGGCCGTTGTGAGGCTTCTGTTAGTGGGCGGGCTTCAGGTCGCTGCAACAGCGCCCTCCCAACACGATCGCACACTGCAACTGTCAGAGCTGTAAGGAGAATGCACACTTGCACAGCCTGCTTGCCCAACGTCACTTGCAAGATTGGCTAAGGTCAAAAGCCGGGCTCGCTTTTATGTCCTGCGCGGCGATGACGGCAAGGCCTGGCGTGGATTTGTGTGCTGCTGTCCCATTGGGCAGTGACCCGCCAGCCGCCAGGTAGTTCAATAGGTACGGTTGTTGAACCTTTCAAGCAAGCAGGGAGAAGCAGCACGGGGGAAGACTGAGCGACACAAGTGAAGACTCTGCACCACCGACGCAGCCCGGCAACCGAGTCTCCAAGGGACTCGGCGTTTCTCGTGCAGGTCTTCCCTTTCACCCGACCCACGATCGCAGGGCACTCAGTTGTGTTCAGGTTCCATCCCGGCTCGTTCGATATTGGCTTGGTGGTTTGGACATTTCCATGCTAAATTTTGCTTGACGCCGGACAGCAGCCCGATATCCAAAAGAATGCAGCTCCAAGCCGACGTCCCCTCACTCATAGTTTGGCACGGTCGCGCTGCACCCTCACTTATTGTCAGCGCTATAAACGAAGATCTGTATCCCCAATCTCGGAGACCACAATCAAGAGCCAATTGCGCTCCGAGGGCGAGTCGAGCTTCTCTCTGAACAAAGGTGCCGGGGTTCGTTGCTGCAGGTGTTTGTGGGTTGGAGGCGTTGATTGCGCTGGGACCGGGCCATCTGCTACTGCTAGAGCGAACCTGCTGCCTGGAAGTTCTGAAAACTTAGGCCTGTCAGCTCTGATCAAGCATGCCTTCCAGGGTGTAAGGCTGCAGGCTCCAGGCGCCGTGTGGCTTTCCGCACGCCTGTGCCCTTTCCGAGTTGTGTTGCAAGGAGATGAGTACAAGTTCTGCTGGTGCTTGCTCACCGGTCGGGAGCTTCAACGAGCGGCCGTGCCTTTGGCGAGAATGAGTGTTGAGTAATGATCGGGACAGAAGCTCGTTCCCAAGGCTTCAAGCAAAGGAGCCTTGGGACTACCCCGCCATTCAACCTGGAATGAGAGGTATCATGATTCACGAGGAGCCATCAATGCAACAAGTTCCTGTTGCATCGGGATGCAAGCTAGAAAGCGTGGCTGCTTTCAGATTGAGGAGATGGGTCATATGGGTTTTGCAATTCTAAACTCAAGATCATAAAGCCTGAGGTGCAGAATCCCGAACCCCCCTTCTTCAAACCTGCATGGGCCAGGTTTGTGGTTTAGGGTAAAGTAAACATCAGCTAAGCGGTCGCTTGGAAGCTAGTGACATGCCAAGGAGCCTCGAGAGTCGAAGCCCCACAGCCAGAAGCCTTGAAGCAGAATCTTGCGAGAGGTAAATTCATCGAACCCCACAGCAAAGTGCTCAACATCTCATAGTAAGAACAACAGTACCAACTGCGCACGAACAACATCAAAGATCGTGTTAATAAAAATCCATGCCATCAGGCTGGAATGCTGCTCGAGGGGTCGGCTGACGGACGACCCGAGCTGCTCGGCCCAGCGATCTTGGGGTTTCCAAGCCTCAGCCGTGCATCTGAATTAACAACCTTAGGGTTTGGAGTTTAGGATATGTTTAGGGTTTAGAGTTTTGCTGAGCAAGGCATTAAGGATCAGTCGCGAGCGCTGAACCTCCGTGGTCCGTGTTGCTCAAACATTCAGGCGATGGCACAAGTCCTGATGCAAACAAGGGTTTAGAGTTTAGGGTTTAGGAGCGTGGAGCGAGACAGCTGTCCTGGCGTGACGTTGCAAGCCACTTGCAAAAGAGTTTAGGAGCCAGGCGCTCAATCCTAAATCCTGAACGGGGCTTTTGATCGCCCGTGAGCCGCCGAGGTTTCACAGCGAAGAGCTCCCCATTCTCTTCCCCATGTCGTCGCCGGAGGCTAGGTGGGTCCACGGCTCGCTAAATTTAGGGGTGTGTTCTGAACTTCGCAAGGAGATCGTCTTAAGCTCCCTGAAGCACACGAGGCTGCATAGGCACGGAGTGGAAAACAAGGATGCGCAGCTAAAGAACAAACTTTGACCGGCGTAGTGAAACGGTGACCTGCTTTGAAGCTTTGAGTCTGTCTGCTTCTTGAGGGAAGGCACATGCCCTTCCTTATTGTTGGTGCTTTTTGCATCTGTTTGTTCTACTGCAATACCTGTGTCGTCGTCGTCCCCTTCATGGTGTACAAGTAGCAAGCTCAAGGGACTTGAAGCCGTGCCTGCCTGTGTGCGAGTGTGTGAGTCCAGCTTCTGAGCTTGGCTCGTGTCGCCGTGTCGCCAGATCGACCCAACAGAAGCTTCCAACCTCGGCGAGCCCTGGCCGCCCCAATCTCCTTTTCTTGTCCTGTCCGCTTGAGACATTCAGAACTACGGTTTTCGACTTCGGAGTGCATCGCACTGCTTCAATTTGACGGCGAACATTACCTGGCATGTGTAGATCAACTATCCCATGGTTCAAGAGTCTGAGCTCAAGGACGGCTACACGTTCACTGGGCACCTGGACCTACGGGCCGTCGCGGGCTTCTAGGACGAGCCTCCCATTTCAGGCTGCCGACAACTTTTGCGATCTTTTTTCTGGAACAGCATGTGACTGCCAGGCGCTGTCCTCATGCGTTGAGCTCTTGAGAAGCAGCCGTCCGTGAACGTTTAGCGGTTACTGGAGCAGTAGCAGCATTTGCCGCGCTCCTTGCCCCTTTGACTTTTGCCAGCTAGGTACTGTAGCCTGGGGTTTATGGTTCTCTTTAGGAGGGCTAGGAGGCTTCAGAGTGTGCATAGGGTGTGAGGCTCTGGCAATCGCCCCAGAGCCCTGCCATACAGTTTTCGCATTGTTTGGGCCGCCCCCCAAACTGCCCGCGGAAAAGAAGCGTTCTCGTGGGATGCGTGCATACAGAAACACGTCGCGCGGATAGCATCAGATTACATCAGATTTGTGTGCCAGCTTCTGAGATCCAGCGGTCTCGCGGACACAGGCCTATCGGCCTATCATGCGAGCGATGGACAGAACGGCCGGTCCAGGATGAACTTTGTTGGAAAACCCGAAACGCTGTCTCCTGCTGTACCAAATCTCAAAAGCCAGCAATGAAGCACGCTGAGGCCGACCCGGCATACCTCAGAAACTGCCCCCAATCCAGCCGCGTCGACGATGATCGCAAGCGCCACATCTTCCTGTCCATGGAGGTGTAGCATCTGCAAAGGAAGACTCGTCTTCCAGTTGGGCGTAAGATAGCCCCGAATCATCCACAGCAGAGAGTTTAGAGTTTAAGGCTTATGCAGCAGGGAGGATACCCTCGGGAAGGATACATCGGCAGGGTATGGCAGGGTAGTTTTCGATGAGAGTAGTGAGTAGTGTTAAATGGGATCCTCCACAGCAAAAAGGCGGATAAAACCGTCTCGTCAAATTATCGGACTTCGGCCTCACATTAGAAGAGTTGGTGAAGTTTTTAGTAAGGTGGTATGTGTTGAGTTATGATTTGAGCTGCTTTGCAGTTCGGATTGAAGTTTGAAGTTGGTGGTTGGCGACCCGCGATCCCGCAACGGCATCGGATTTTGCGGATTTTCTTAGTGCCTGCTTCTGCGATTTTGTGCAACCTTGCAAGCGACACCATAGGTACGGACCTATCATGTGCGCACCTGTGTAGACCTATCATGCCTCCCGCCTCCCGCCCGCATACCCGAGCCCTTCAAAGTTGAATCAGTCGCTTTGTCTCCTGTTGTGCCAACAGTCACTTAGCACCGAATCCGAATCAGGCTGCATATAGCGTCTGAAAGCACTGAGAGATTACCCTATGGCCGACGGCGACCCGGCGTATTTCAGCGGCCCCCTCCAGCTCATCCGGATCGACGATGATGGCAAATGCCACCTTCAGGAAGTGCTGGGTCAAGCTTGCGGGCCTTCGGGGCTATACGGGGTTTGAGCGTTCTCGTAGCATGTACCATGTGTAAGCTGAGTACTTGGTTCCGAGTCGACATCCGAATTGTCCGTCTTTCCACAACCTCCAACAAGACTTTGTGCCCTTGGGGGCAGTATATAAGCTGCAGGACAACGCCGCGGCTATCCTCAACCAGATCCCCGGCAGGCTTGCGCGGCTTGGCATGGCTTGGAAAGTCTATATTTTAAGAGATCCTATCTAAGCTCCTCTCAAGCCCAAAGCTCAACAGAAATCCTCAGCTCTTGAAGTTCTTGGTGCTTCAGACTTTCGTTTTGGCCATGGACATCTTCAGAGTTCCGTTTGGGATGGCCCAATGGTGCCGGCATGTTCATTGATGTCGCCAAGGATCGTGGGGATTGCCGGGCTCTACCGGACGGGGAAGTCCTTCCTCCTGAATCGCTTGCTAGGCGCGCAGGGTTTTCAGGTCGTGCGGGCGTTGATGGCGGCATCAAACGTGCCAAGCACGCTTTCGCAGATTCCTTGCTATTTTGTCCATTGTGGGACGATGTCCTGAATCCTCAAGCGACTCAAGTTCAACCGCCCCCGCTTGCTCTTGATGCAAAGAGAAAGCGAGAGAGAGAGAGAGAGAGAGAGAGAGAGAGAGAGAGAGAGATCGTGCAGGCAAGCAAGCAAGAGAGAGATCTGTGACTCAAGTCACAATGGTGCAATATGCTCGTTCTTGACTCCCGCACGCCCAGTCAATAAATTGGGTGGGCTAATAAGCCCGGGGAGTTTGACCGGTCCCCAAGCGGTAGAGAGAAAGAGAGAGAGAGAGAGAGAGACACCGCTGACGGCCATATCTCACCGAATGCACCGGATCTCCGTCTCACACCAGACATGAACAGTGGCGTAGCGCTCGCGCGCAGGGGGTGTAGGGGCTGCCCCTACCTCCCACACGCCTTGCAAGCAAGCAAGCAAGAGAGACACCGAGTGCAAGCAAGAGACACAGAGAGAGCGAGCCGCCCGCATGAGCATTAAAGCGCCAAATTTCCGAAGCCATGCGGCGAGACAGGTTTGCAGGATGGTTTCGAGATCGGCCCAACCATCAACCCGTGTACGCCGCTGGGCTTCGGCCGGTGTTTGCAGCATTTGGGGGTGTTCTGCCGGGAGGTTGGCCAATCTACGTCGAGTGTGCATGAGTTTGGCACCATCTGGGAAAAATCAGCGATTGCGTTTCGTTCTTTTTGGCTGAGACGTAGTTTGGGCTGAGACGGGCTGAGACACTGGAGCAGTTCCGCGGCTGAAGTTCTTTGGCGCAGCCAGCCCCAAGCCGTGAGATCCAGACCAGCCTTGGAGATTTTGTTCCCACACTCAGGAAGGGTCTTTGGATCTGGGGTCAGCCTGTGCAGCTGGCGCCGGACAGCGGAGCCCTACAAACAAGCGGCTTGAGGTTACCTCTTCCAGCACGACTTCTGAAGTTTCCCAGCTTTTCGGGCTGCTTCCTCTTCTCTTTCGGACGAAGAAAGCTCAGAAGGTAGTTTCGTGTCCAGCTAGCCCCACTCCGCGCCACGAGCAGAGAGTAGGGGGGCGACTGGCACCTTGATAGAAAGGTTACCTCTCGAGCGCTAAGCCTAGAAAGCTTGTCATGCTCCCCCCCCGAAAATGTGATGAACTCTTTCTCCAGTCCGTACTTGGCATGCGAGACGGCAACGGCAGGCAAACTCGAGCTTGTGCCTTCGGCTGCTGCAGGGTTCATTAAGCTAGGCCCGGCATTTTCAATGAAGCTCCCCGGCCTCAACTCCATCAAGTCAGACGACATGCCATCTGCGGTCTCACATGTTACTTGTAGGACTACTACTGCATCCTCATCGACACCGAGGGCTTGGGTTCAACCCAACGCACGGCGAGTTGCGACATGCAGATCCTCTCCCTCTGCATCCTGTTGTCCTCGTGCCCTCTGCGGCTGTGCGTGGTTGGCTTTAGATTTGTTCATGTGTCATATGGTTAGCAGAGGGGAGCTGAGAAACAAGTCCGGCATATCAACCTGAAAGCAACCATGCATTGAAAGCTCAAGACAAGAAGTTCGCGCATGCTGTCAGAAACGGCTTCCAGGTACTTTATCTACAACTCCATGGGGGCGATCGACGAGCAGGTCGCTCGTAAGTGTCCGCGGGAGCATGCGGTTCAAGGAGCTAGGGGAAGTTGTGGAGGCTGATGCCAGAACGGTGTCATGAGCGATGATTTTCGAAGCTAAGGCTTTCGAGAGTTCGGCTTGTGCGAATTGCGGAAATTGAAAGTTCGTAAGGTGAAAGTTGAGATTTGAAGCGGTTGTTCGGTTCCCCAAGTGCAGGCATACCAAGCAGTTGGTGAGGTCGATAGGTTAATTGCCCCATCGGTATTGTGCAATCGGGACAGTGCGTGCACCTCGGTTGCGCGGCATGTCAAGGTCTCGAAAAGCTTGCACTTCTTTCTTTCGACACGGGTTAAGAGCTGCAGGCAGTTTGGTGTGAGGTCCGACTCCAGGGTTTTTAGACTAGGCAGAAGCAACAACTGATGTCTAGTTGAGCTCTGAGGCCATCGATGACCTTCACCTCGTCCTCCACATAGCCAAGCACATCCATGTGAAGAGCCATCGGCGGAACGAGGTGGCTAAGGGGCTTTAGAGTCTGTAGAGCTTTGAAATAGCAAATGTTAAGATGTCCGGCTTCAGAGTTGAGGCCCGAGGTTTACAGAAGCAGCCCTGAAGATAAACTTTGACCTGGGCACTGCAGCCGCAGCATGCCGCAGCGCCAGACGCGGCTCTTCCATCGAACCTGGTTTACCTATCCTTACCCAGATCCTCAAGTGATCTATCAATCCTGCGGCTTCATATGTTCACAGGGGCACAAGTCTCAAGTCAACTGGAATCCAATGGTCACAGTCCACAGGGGCGGCGGAGAGGAGTCTTTGTGCGAATGGCATAAGGCGGCTCCTTCGTAGGTCCTAGGTCTTAGGGATTCCTAGGGCCCAGCTCTTACCCCGATGCCCCAAAGCCCTGCCCATGGCTGAGAGGAGGAGAAGTCCTCGGACCTGTCCCAGTACTTCCCGCTCTTCCTCTGGGTTCTGCGGGATTTCCACCTCCGTTTGGCGGATGAGCCCCTAGGAGACAAGAAAGTGCGGCTCGCACAGCTTCGGTCGAGTTTTGTGTAGCCAGTTTACTCGCTCCTGTGTCGCATGCAGCATGGAGCATCAGCGGGGTTTGTGGCAAGCGGCTGGATCGATGCCCTTCGCCACCTGTCATTTTTCCTGCGTCCGTAGGTATCGGTCCAACGAGATTCCAAGGTCTGGGGCGCCGATCTCTGAGAAGGAGCTTTGGCCTGGCTTTCAAAAGTTTCAGGGTTCGGCTCAGCGCGATTTTGGCTCCATAAAGAACTCATCTTAAACAGAGGCGACCCCTGGTGCCAGCAGTTGACTTGTGAGGCTTTCACGGCGTCGCGTTTTGTGTCGTTTCCAGGAACCTAGCTGTGCTTCTGTGTTTGCAATCTGGATACGGGTCTTTCGTCTTGGGAGAGAGTGTCCTCACCATTTTGCATCTAAGGAGTACCTTGAGCGCGCTTTGCAGTCTGTTCGAGGCGTGGAATGTCGGAACCTGCTTTGAAAGTCCTGCATGGCTAATATAGGGGCCTCCCCTTTATACTATAATTGTAATAAAGAACCACCAAAATAGTATAGGTAATTATTAAGGCCCCTATATTAGGGAGTTCTGGTGGTTCCTCGCGGCCCTGGCGTGCCCTGGCAGGCCAAGACGACAAGAACAGGTTGCGGGATGTGATCAAGGACGCGCTTCTCCTGCTTTGCTGCATGCACCGGTCCAACAAGGTAGGGTATTGGTACAGACTGTGCAGCAGTAAGAATGCAGTCGTCTTGTCGAAGCATCGTCTGGAGAAGTGCGCACGGAGAAGTGCCCGGGTAGAGCTGCTGGAGCTCATCATGCAGTCATGAAGCTGTTGCCTTTCTGAAACGCAGCTTGGCAGCGCGAATAAGCATACGAGCCGATCGCGAGTATCAGAGGATCTCTTCCGGGAGCGCGACTGTGCCACGATCGTTCGGCCCGTGGTTGATGAGGCCGACCTGCGGAACATCCAAAAGCTGTGGCTCGCTGCACTTTGGTGGGCTTTCGGGGATGCTACGGCTTTTTGTTTTGCGATTGCAAAATCAAAGCTTTAATCGCCCAATGCTCGAACTGACGGCGCCATTCTCGTGGCGGTCACAGAGCCAAGGCCTTACGAGTCCTTGCGCCCGGAGTTCCGCGAGCAGGCCAACTCCACTGTGAAGACTCCATGGACGAAGCTCATGATATCACCATTCAGTGTGATGGACCTGAAGTTGCAACAGTCTCGGTCAGTTACAGTTGCAGTTGAGATTGTACATTGGTTTCTTGTTGCGCGATCTGCACTGACTCGGCATCAGCCGGGACTGACTGTTGCATGTATGTGCAGGTTTCACTAGGTGTGCAGTGGCCCAGAGATGGGGAACGCAGGATATTTTGTGGGATGGAGGCAGGTGAGAGAAGGCCTTGGTGGAGGTATGAATCATGCCTGAACCTTGCTGTGTCAAGACAGGTATGAATCATGCCTGAACCTTGCTGTGTCAAGACCGGGGTCCTCGTTTTCAGGGTTTGAAGGCTGGGACTCTTAGCTCGGACGCGGGGTTTCGTGACGGAAGGCCTAGGCCGTAGGGCCGAAAGCTCGCCGAAGGGGTTCCGGTTTTGGGGAGCTTCCCGAGTTGGGGGCTTGGGACCAGGTGGAAGCCTTCGTCAAGAAGGTGTACATGTCGCGTGGCGGCTTTCTTCAGGTTTCAGTGCCGTCAGAGCTTCTGAGGCTAAGGCCAGGCTGACTCCATTCCCTTTTTTTGGGGGGGTTCCCTTTGCAAGTCGCCAGTGCGGCCTTGGTTCGAGCCGCAGCTCGAGGTTCTTGAAACCAAAGAAGATCGATGGGCAGTTGGTGAACGGGGCCATGCTCGTGGAGCTGGCTGGGGAGTATTGCGCCAGGGCTGCAGGCTACGAGTTCAGCTCGTGTCTTGACAGGGATGCCGCAAGCGTTTACCATAGTTGTCCCAGTCTTGAAACATTCAGAGGCTTCTTGAGAAGCTGGCCGCATGGACATGGAATAGACTTTATTGCCTCCCTTCACGAGTGAAAGTCCAAGGCAAGGCAATCAACAGCGGTGTGGTGCCGACGATCCAATCTGCCTGGACCTCCGTGGTTCAGCATCAGCTGCGGCTTTCACTCCGGGATGCGGTGCAGATCTACCGATCGAGGACCGTCGGGCCAGCTTGGCTCTCACTTCTGGACAGTTTGACCATGCATGAAACAGAAGTTTCACCAGTTGCTTTGCGCACCGGGAGGATGAACGAGACGGCGATGCAGAACCTGCCCGTCTCCGAGGAGAAGCCCCTCGACAGAGCAAAGCCATGCCAGCTTGACGGATGCTTGCTCTCCTCCTTTTTGCTAGTCGCTCTTTTCAAAGGTTTGGGTCACCGGCTCGAATGCGCGCGTCCCGCAATTGTCTACTCACTCTAATCACTGTAGACTCTGGTCCGTTTCGAGCGGTGCTTGTGGACCATCGAATTGTGCGCTCGAACTCTGGTAATTCCAAAAGACCAACTCGGCTCTCTCACAGTCTGCGATATTTTGTGATGCTCTCGAACGGTTTGCTCCACCTTTATTTGACTTTTCTGGCCCCTTTCGAAAGGAGCCAGCTATTCGAAAAGGGGCTGGAACATCTTAGGGGCAGGAGCGAACCGCTCGAAAGGGTTGAGCAAGTTCGGAAAATTGGCGATCTGCTTGGGAGGGACCAGGGAAACTGAGAAAGGGAGTTCGAAACACATGACGGCATGATTTACACAACAGAAGTGCCGGAACAAACCAGCTTAAAAAGAAGCTACAGAACCAAGTGAGCGACAGGAGAAGGGAGTTTCCGAAAATGGGGGACCCGAATATAGCACCCTAGATAGTAGGATCCTTACTATAAGGACCTCAAAATAAGGTACCCCTATTTTCGGGAACTCCCAGAAGAGGCGTCTGAAAAGGACTTGGGGAGCGAAAACGCTTGGGAGAGACGAGACAAATTGCTTGAAGGGGGCTGGAGGAATCTCAAGAGCGACGCTGGAAAGGAACTGGAGCAAGCCCCTTCGAAGGGGACTGGAGACTTTGAGAAGATGAAGAATAGATGTATATACAGAATGCCCCAAGGGAAAGCCACAGCTTATGTAGCGCGCGTGACTTTCTGTGAAGAATCGAGGATTCGAGACAGAGGAGTACAGTCTCGAACCTGCCAAGAAAATTGGAGCAAAAGCAGTCATAAGCAGTCAAACTCTACACTCTACACAAGGATTCGAGAATTTGAGAAAGATCGTAGACCGTTCGAAAGGGATCAGACATCCAGATAGAAAGGCGCAAGCCGTTCAACACGGACTGGAGAAGTTCTGGAGCAGGAGCAGACGTCCCGAAGCGGACTACATCATAAGGTGAGAAAGAGGGCCCAAGCGCTCGAAAACAACTGGAAAGCTTGAGAGAGCGGAGCGAACCGCTGAAGGGCAGTATGCCGAGTCTGCAGACCACTCCAAAAGACTTGGATCTTTCCCAAACGATAGCAAGCCGTTCTAAACCAGGGAGACTTTATGATGCATCTGCGGCAACGGAGCAAGCCGTTCGAAACGGAGAAAGCCAGTCCCTTGCACAGGGTTTGCCCCACTGTCTCCAATCATCTGATTCCTTCCGAACCCGCGGCTGCCCTGTGCCAACTTTCCCAGTCTTAGCTCAACTCCCTGACATTCTCTAGCTCCACTCTTGACATAAACTCCCGCCCCACGGGAGCAGGAGGAATCGCACGCATCAAATCCGTTAGCAACTGACCTCAGATTGCGGGAGCTGCACAAGGAGGCGAAGGCGGAGGGCCTGAAGAAACCTGGCTGTTTGAAGTATGTCGGAGGGATGTGGTTACAGGATTCTCTACGGCTCTACGGCTGCATGAGCCATTGACACGCTTTCGAACGCAGTCTCGGTTTATCGGCGAGTCCAAACTGTCTGTGGAGAGGAAACAGAGGCAGAAACAGAACCTTCCGTGAGGAAGCATCCTTGCCGAACGTGAAAGAGAGCTGTTTGCCTCAGCACGACATGCCTTACCCAGGCTACTGCTGAATGCTCGTCTGGATGCCGACCCAAGATTCAGGGAAAGCCGAGCGCAGCTTCCTTTCTGCATGCGAGGGATGCAGGGTTCAACAATCGCAACATGGACGTCGATTGTAAACCTTCCGCGCTCAGATTCTCACAGTTTCCGGGTTTCGGATCTGTGTTGGTTCGGCAGGGTGAACTGCATTCATCACAGCTGCCTCTGTGCAATTCCGTGGCTCAGAGCCTTTTCAATGTGATGATACTTTCCCTTGACAGGCCAGCATTTCGTCACAGTCCTTTCTGTGGTAGTAACAAAAGAATTGGTTCCGTAACCCATTGAGCATTCAGAGAATCGAGACGTCGTAGCCGGAAGCCCAAAATCGCCATATTCCAAGCTACCCTACCCGCCTCAACCAACGACATGTTTCTTGTGTGTTCGAGGTTGCTCAAATGTATCAGCGTTTGCACTGCAGAGATGTGGATCCACGTCGTACAACAATCTGCATTAAGAAGAAGCCGTTCAGGTTTTCTTCGCGCGTGCGCCAGCTCTTCGGGCACGTCACAGCAGAGTCTCGCTTCCACAGAGCATCCCACGATGAAGGGCTGCTGGCCGATCCCCATTCGTCGTTCTTCCTGTGAGAGCCACTTTTGCAGCGGCAAAGCGCCAGATCGGGTTTCATGCACGTCCAGGAAGTTGGTCCCGGCTCCAACATCTGACGCTTCTGCCTGTGGTTAACAGATGAAAAGCAACGTACGATAGAAGAGCGCACTCTTCAGTGCCCTCTCCACGTGCTGGGGCTGCAATGTGCCCTGCACAGCCCCTTCATCTTAAAGCTCCTCCACCTGAGCCCGGTCCATGCAAGAACCTCAAGGTTTGTGGAAGGGTTGTGCCAATGGAGCATCCGAGGAGAACCAGAGCGCGTCGCAGCGGCAGTGCGACCGCGTCGCGCTTTGGCTGCAGAGTGTTCCAGCTTCCGCTGACCGCTTCGTCTGCTTCATTTGCTTCATTTTGCTACAGTGTTCCAGCTTCCGCAGAGGTTTTTTGCCGCGTCCAAACCTTCCGTGCAGTGCGGTTGTCTTTGCGCCTAGGCGCACGAGCTCTACAAGCCGGTTGAGCAGAAGGCCGGATCACGGAAGGACCGCTGCTCCCGACATTCGAAGCCTCGTGCTTGGGAGGTGCTGGCCTCGGGAACCTACACGAGCTTTCATGAGCTTGCCGCCGACTGGGACCGCTTCTTGAGGGGTGGACTCTATGACCCTAAGCTCCCGGGGTTTGGTCGGTTCCTTGGGCTCGTGGCAAAAGTGTTTCGGTTCCGGGCCTGGGCCTTAATAATTCAATAATAAGGTTTAAGATCTATCTCTCCGAAGCACCGGTGACTGCTACTTCATGCAGATTCACGCGCCTATCTTTTGCTGCGACGTGTAGTCAGTCTCGCGTCCTCGATGAGAAGACAACTGTGAGCGAGCTGAAGCAGGAAGAGCCAACACCCTCCTCTCGAGACTCTGAATTTCTTGCCGCTTCCTGGAAAGCACTCCTGCCTGTGTCTGATTGATGTCATGTCATCGTGCTCATTGCTTGATGAAAGCGTATGGTGGGCTTGGGTGCTTGACGGCGTCGCTGCTTGTTTGCAAACGGGCGTTTCCCCCTTCCTTGCTCTATGTAGTTTTCTGGCTGTGGCTCGTCGAAGATTGGGTCTTCCCGTTCAGGAACAGGGCTCCAACGAAGTCGTGCGTGGACGTCCTTCGTCCTGATTTAGTTTCCCTTGCTGTTGATGCTTCGGCTTATACTGGCCTATACTTATACTGCCGCCAGATCGCAAAATCCGGAAGACTCCGCTGCGCTGCTGTTTTCTCCTGCCGAAAATGGTGATGTGACAATCACCTCCTAACTGCAGGACTTTCTTTGGCTTGCCCTGAGGAAACCAACAGCCCGAATAAAAGCCTAAGATTGGACCGACCTTAGACGCTGGGAGCAACACTACGGCAGTAGGCCGGATCTGTACGCGAAGTTATGTGTGCTATGCTCTAGTCAACTCTTACAGCTGTGATGAACACTTTTTCCGTCATGTGCTGTGAAACCGAGTGCAGATAGTCGCCCCTCTCTGATGCTGGAAGGGACTTCTGATTCTGTACTGCAACTTCCTCCTTCAGCTTGATACTTCGAGATCGGGCCCCGTGGCACCCACCGCGCAGGACCGGCTGAGGCAGGCCTACCTGCAGAAAGCGCAGGGCCCAGCGAAGGCCGAGGCTCGGTCGCCACCCATCTGATGAGTTAACGTATGCCTGGGAACATGCATGCGTCGTACATGTAGGTAGGCATGTATGCCGTGTGCGCACCTACCTAGGTATGTAGGTATGTATGTAGGTATGTGAGTATGGACATATACGTACGTGCGCGCATAGGTACGTAGGTGCGTACGGATGTAGGTCTATCTGTCTGTCTGTATTGATGTATGTCCCTCAATCCTCGCCTGACTCTGTCGAGTGCGAGTGCCAAAATGTATGTGCGTATGTAACTATGCATGTATGTACGTATGTATGTATGTATGTATATGTTTAGTTGCCTATACTTCAGCGGAGTACGGATACATACTTCTCAGGGGGGCCACAACACGTGGTTCACATCTACGAGATGCCGGTATGATTACCGCCCGCATCGCAGGACTTCTCTCTTGCGGCGACGGAAGAAGTATGTATATTAGATGTATGTGTGTATGTACGTATGTAGATGTACCTCTGGCTGACTCTGCCTATATTTATTGAGAAGTCAGTGTGTAGTGTAGGCACATACTTACATACATACGTACGTACATACATGCGTACATACATACATATATGCACGCACAACACGTATAGTTCTCCCATGTCACGGCCGTAACGATTCGAAGTGTATAGCCATGCCAAGTCGAGGATGAAGGACGGACTTTGTCATAATACGGGAACGGGGCGTGTTGGCCTGTGATGCCCGTGTCGCCGTCGGGATCGTTTTGGGTCACCAGTGGTTTTAGCAGCAGTATTTATCACAGTGAGTTGCGTCATGGGTGGCAGATTCAGTTCTACAGGGCTCGGTGGTTTGATCGATGGATGTCAGAATGCTGAGCCGCATGTCGGAGCCACTCGTGCTGATGTGTGTTGCCGCCTTGCCGCTCAGCCTGGAAAACCTCCCCTTGGACGAAGCTTAATTCGAATTCTGACCGGCGTCTTGGGTTACCCCGGCTGCACTGTGAAAGTTGCTGTGCCGGTTAGGGCTTGGCAGATTTGCCGCTGCAGGTGCTCTTGTCCCGCTTGGGCTCCCAGCTGCTGCAGAGCACGCAGAAGGTCTGGGAGGACTTCCACACGGTCCCTTGAACTGACACTTGAGAGGGGTGGAGGCTTGCAAAATGTCGACACGAGCCAGAGCGTCGTGCGAAGCTACAGTATAGCTGCAAGCCGGGAGAGCGTACCCCGCCGAAGCCAATCGAAGCGCCCTTCGATGCGCGCCACAGGCCGCCGAGGAGCGCAGCCAGGCTCTGAAGAAGCAGCTGGCCGACGCCGAAGCGCGCTTTCTGGGCCTTAAGCGCCTTGGTTGCGAAGTCTTGGTCTGAGGGGACCGGGGGTGCGCTCGGAAACCAAGCCGGTGTGGGCTGGGGGCCCGGGAAAGGAATCAGGGGCATCTGCGAGTTCTTGTGAAGGTTCGGGTGTCACCGGTCCGAGCGTCTCCGCCTGAGGGTTGATGATTCGTGACTGGTCGTGGTGGCTTTAACCTCGGCCCTGTTTTGCCCCGTATCATGACCACAAGCACCTGTCATCCGAATTGCGTGGCCTTTCTTGCCACGTTCCAGACAAGCAAGTTGCGCGCTCCCACAGCCTGCGTCCTCCGAGGGGCAGTGCGGAGGAGCGGTCCAGCCACGGCATCGGCATTGAGGTTGCCCGGAGGCACATGTCCAGAAGTGCCAGCAGCAAGCCTGCGTGTCGTCGAAACGCTTTGCTCTTGAACGAGAATCCGGTGTCACAATCATCCCTGTCCTTCAGGCACTTGGTGAATTGCGGATTGCTTTATTGGTGTTTCATGGTGTTTCATTCGTCGGGCTTTCGATTTGTACGGACCACCAAGAGCATTCCCCACCCGGTTCCGAAGCACCGGGAGGATGGAGCTGGAGCGCCTTCTTGAGGACACCGAGCTTGAAGTGGAAATCAGCCTTATTCCATCCTGGTAAAAGAAGAGGGTAGTGCGGCGAGTTTTCCATGTACGGTTTGAATCCAAGAACCTACTTGCACGCTTCTCACTGAGTTCACAAGTTGGGCTTGTCGGAAGCAAAATATCCGACACAAACCTCGCACATTTCTTTCTGGCCCGGCGGCTTCCTTGTAAATTTGTTTTGAGACTTCGGAGAAGCTGAACAACGGGCCATGTGCAGGACCTTGCAAGAGGTTGGGTATGGCAAGCTGGCAACCTCTGCCTCTCGAGGACGCGCGCCGGAGCCTCACTGAGGCGACTCAGAAGTTCGCGCGGGAGAAGGCGCCTCTACGGGGCGGTGTGGAGCTCCCTTTGATGGAGTTTGGTATGGGCCAGGGTTCGACGTGCTTCGGCCCAGGAAGCTGAAGCTGCGATCTTCCGAAGGGTCCCTTCGGCATAGAAGCCCTGCGGCCCTGCTTCGGGATCTTTTTACTTAGAGTCCGCGACACCTGGAGAACCTGCCCAAGTTATCCAGTGCAGTGATGCAGTGTGTTGACAGCTGAGCAGGTAGGAAATGTCCTACCCAAAAGGAAACTCAACCCCCAACCGGAGTGCCCTGGTGAAGCGGTTGCACCCGGACATCATGCCTCCTGCCAGGCACAGCTTTTGGACTCAGAGCGCACCCTCAGAGAGCAGATGAAGATCCTCCAGGCATAGTATGATATGAATAATCGCTATAATAAGAATATACGAATAATAAGAATATAGCAATAAGAATACACGAATAGTAACAAGAAGAAGAAGAACTATGTAGGTCGACTCTTTCGGGTGTCGTAGTGCCTTTTCCTGGCATCTCTGAAGCTTCCAGGGATCAGAATCAGCCTTCAGCTTTCTTGCCATGCTCTTGGTTTAGGGTTTAGGTTTTAGGACTTAAAACTGCCGGCCGCGAACTCTTTCCGGACCAATCTATGCCGTGGCTCGATGCGCAAGTCTACCTGCTTTTGATGCGCTAGTATGGTCAGCCTTATTCCACGATAACCCATTTCAAGGTTTGTGCGAGGTTTTATGTGCTGTAATTGAGTCTATATATATGTACATATATATATATATATATATGGTCACGCCCCCCCCCCATGATCCATACCATGGTTTTTTCTTTCTCCTGCTGCTCATGCTTCGATTTCTACATGACTTCACCTACATACAAAATTATCGGTATTTGCGGTATTTTCTGCACCTAGCATCTACTTAGCTCTACATGTTGTAATTTGTTCTCACATGTTATACCCCCACGAAAACCGAAACGGATTCTGATTTCATTTTCGGGCTCCGCTCTTCCATCCAAAACCTGGCACTTCATGTTTCAGGAGGCATCACCGGTAGTTGTGCAAAAACTTCAACATGTTGCCTGTCACTGTCGCCATGTTTTGGTGCCGATGCCAATACTCAAACTGGCAGCTTCGAATCTTCCTGGTCATTGTCTGATTGCCTGGAAAGCGTGACACATACTTCAAGTGTGTTCATAATAGTATAGTACTACCGCTGATACTACTACTAATACTTGTCACAATATTTATAATAACATCAATATTTGCAATAGTATTGATACTCCTACGAGTACGAATACATAAACTCTTGTGGTGTTAACAATAATGCTATCACCAACACCGATACGGATATTGATAATCTGTTGAATATTCATGAATGCCAGTACTATTACCAGCATGAACATTTATATTATGGCTAATACGACTATGAATAGTCTTAATTCTAATTTCAACTTTAATACTCCTACGAATACCAATAGTATATTCGTATTGATATGAATACTAATCTCTTTTCTAATAGACACCTGCATATACTAATGTACATAAGTGCTTAGCCTGCACTCACTTGTGACGTCGCAACAGCTGTTCTTGACGCTCGGAGTAGCTACCCTCTCAGTCTTGCTCTTCTACTTCTTCCTACGCCGCAGCCTGAGCCATGCGCTCTGCAACGACCTGCAGCAGATGATAGGGAAGGGGCCCCACTCGACTGGGGACTCGCCAGCAGGACTGACGGCCATGCAACAATGCTTGCAGGCCCTGGATGACACGGTCCCGGGCCTCTTGACCTCCATCCAGGAATCCATGACTACCCTTTCAGGAGCAGTCACACACCATGGATCCCTATTGGTGCAACTGCAGCAAGATGTGACCGCGCTGACGAGTACAACAACCAGCCACGACTCCCTGCTGCAGCAACTGGACCAAGGGGTGAAAGACATGGGTACCGTCTCGGGCACAGAGATCTCCGCGCTCCTCAAGGAACTTGGCTCACTCATGGGGTCTCTCCAGCAGCTGACTCCAGCTGCGTCGGCTCAGTTCTTGAAGGACGTCAAAGGGGCCCTGGAAACGAGAATGTCGACACTTCAGGACACGCTCATGGAACTGAGCATATCCGCCACCACCTTGAAGACCCGCAAGGTGACGGTGGACATCACACCCTTCAAGGAGCAGTTTGATGGCATCAAGGACCAGCTGGCCAACATGCTCGCCAAGGTCGACCAGGCTCTTGGGTACATGCGAGACGACCATGCCCTGATCGTCCGCCTCAGGGACAAGCTCGAGGAAACCAAGAGCGACGGCGAGAAACACAAGGCAGCCCTCCAAGGAGACATCCGGAACATTGTCGCCCTAGTGCGCGGCCTGGAAAAGACGTGTGCACAGGCCTCGGACTTCAGTGAGAAAGCTCTGAATGTCATAGCCAAAGGTAACCCTAGCCCGTGGGAGACAGAGCTCAAGAACGTGGTCGACGAGACGGAGAAGCTCCTCAGGTGGGTCGCAGGCCAAGAAGAAGCCCTGGCAGACCGGGCTCAGAAGATCGAAAGTATGTGCACAGGGTTGGTGGACCAGCTCACCGACGTCTCCACCGCCCTGGAGAACCACAGCTCGGTGATGGGACAACGACTTCGCCTACTCAACGAAGTCCAAGGCGGAGTGGAAAAGGTCCTACACGCCCTTCCACCTCGACAGACTCAGGCAGCGAGTGGAGCCAGTGGACCGAACCCACCGCCTATGCAATTTGGGCCCACATGGCTGGGTACAGAGAGGGCCACCACCGGCCCCCGCCCACACGCCGACAGTCTACACGGAGTGGGACAGACCTTCATCCAGCGCTAGACCGGCACCAGTGATCGTCACCAGCATGGACACTCTGGCAACGGCCTTGCAGCAGCACTCACAACATATGTAGGCGGATGCTGTGCATAGTGTCGCCACGGTGGAGCCATGGCCTGAAATCGCAGTGTCATTTTCAGCGGATTGCCGTAGCAGCTGGTACACCCCTTGGTACTTTGCCTAGTTGTGGTGATTCATGTAGCGCCGAGCTTAATCTTCTTCAAACCTGGGGGCCGAACCATGCTGCAACTGCACTGCTGCTGCCTGCCACTGCCTTTGCACTGCCTTCCTTGCGATGTACTTTACTTGCACTGACTGTTTCCTTTTCCTTGCCGCCACTTGCACTGTGCGACTCCTTGACACCGACCGCAGCAAAAAGAGAGACCGAGCCGGCGTCACTTCATGTGTTTAGAGGAGCGCTGGCTGAGCTGCACATACGTATTGCGCTTGATCGTCAGACTTGTCGGTTCAAAGGTAGGGGGCCTTTTGTGTGCAGCGCTGTCACATGTCGTTTCTCAGTCTTCAACCGTCTTTAGGACAGACTATTGATTTGAGGACCCCGAGGCCACGCAACATACCAGGCCCAGAGCTCTCCCAAGAAGAGAATCAGTCAACCACATCATGTCATGCATGTGCTACACCCCTGCCCCCCTCACTACACCCCGACCACAGCGATCATCGAATCCGACATGTCGAAGCCGAAGCCTTCCGAGTTCTTCAGTTAGACCGACCACCATGCCAACTTGACATCATACGTATGTTTCACATGATACCGGCCACCTTTCGCAAACGTGCTGAGCGAGGAAGTGGTACCTACGTAGTAGGAGGAGCTAGCCCCAGATGCAGTGACTCGGTTCTAACACATTCACTCGACATGCCGCTGTTCAATCTAGCCATCAACCAACATCTCAAGTGGATTGCTCCGCTTCATACCTACACTACGTATGTTGTCCGACGAGGCTGTATTGATCGTGTTCACCGTGACACCCGGAATGCCCCCACGCCCTCACTTGTCATAGCTCTCAATACTCCCGACTGGAACAACGACGGCCTCTGGATACAGGACCCTCAAGGCACAGTTCCCAAGGAGCACCAAGGAACCCAACTGTGGGGTAGAGTTGAGAGCCTCCGTAAACCCCTTGTATTCAACCCCCGTAAAGTACTCCACGCCGGCCACGTTGCGAATCCCGACAGGGCCCATGAGCGCCTCATACTTGTTGCATTTTCGGTACTTCAGGCTTCAGTTCTAACTTTGGGAGTTCAGGAACAT